CAGCAATGTTGTACCCTGGCGCTGTTCCACCCCTGTCAGTGCCAGTGTTTAGTTGTAGTGACGGGGCCTTTCTATGCACTTCCCTCCACCGCAGCGGGTCGGAGGGGTCAGACATCCAAAGCAGCTTTAGTCACACAACAGAAAATATCAGGCAGTATCAGTATGGTAACATAGTACGAGCCTCTGTGACTCAGCTGAACAATTTCTTCTGAAGCAACAAAAAAACAGTAACAGTTAGAGTAGACAGACCGGGAGCTTGTTTGAAATGTTTATTTCCACAGATTTAACAAAAATGGAAGGTTTGAATTATTATTCACTGGTGGACTGCATTACAATAACATATAACAAATAAGGAAAATGAACTGAACAGTGTATGAAAATGACTCCTTAGCTACAAGGCTGAAAAAGCAGGATCTGCTGCTTTGTATTGGAGACTCAGCATTTTTACGCACTCGATAGATTAAGATGAAAGATTGAATTTTCTACTGAATATTTCTCTTGTAAATTTCTGTCTCCACCAGGAAAATATTTTTTTGTACATTTCGTGTCTAGAACGAGCTGATTAATGGACAGCGGTGAATATAAGACTCAGAAACCACCATGATGAAGGAAAGATGGCTGAAAACATGGTGAATAAAATGTGGCATAGTGGAGAAGAGTTTTGCGAGTATGTTCAGTCTGTCAGTCCCTGCTGCTGCTTCACAGTCTCAATAACCTGCTAGTCTCTCAGTAAAATCCTACATCTGACCTCCCCAAGGCAGCGAGCACTGCAACAATATTTACAGTTCTGAATGGAACAGCCTCATGTGAACCTCAAACTCTTTTCAAACCCATGATGTACAGTAGCTTAACACTCATTTTTAAACAAGTACCAAGTACACACTGACCTCTGAGACACAGGCTGTATTGTTACACAGTCATATGTTCATGAATAGCAGCTATGTGAGCGCACAGCCCGGTGTTTCACACTGTGAACACTCACAATCTGTCTCCTTCTCCGTCTTTCTCAAACAGACACACACCCTGTGGTGTCATGTGAGAGCTTTACACCCTTGGCCTTGGACATTGTTGTACGACCTGTCTCGGCACTGAGGCGTCTTGGCCCCGCTGAGCGTTGAAAGTGGACTTCAGTCCTGTTATGTAATAGCTGCCTGTGTGGTTTCCAGCTCTCCTCTGCACCACTGGAGGGATTTCTGTGCAGCAGCCACATCACTGTCACCAGCCTTTGTATCAGAAAGAGTTCGATTTTCTCATTAATGGCGGAACGACATGTTACGCTTCGGTTTTGTTTAACACGCGAAAAGCTTAAATGTGAGAGCCTGACAGCTAATTTAGGTTTAAATGGATGAGCTAATTATATAGTTGGGAAGATGAAATGGTGAAAGTTTTTACTTTTAATGGAAAATCTGTCTAATATTTTGTAAAATGTCTTATCTTTATTGATATTATATAGACCTTATATATTATGATATTATATAGACACGCAAAGGTTAGATGAAACATGAGCAGCTTAAATAAAACTTTAATTGTGACAGTCATTATTTCAGCCATGCTAGCTGCGTGGTTCTAGGGATGGCAATCATGGAAACAGCAACACGGGTACAACAACCACAAAATTATAACAACTACAATCACTGTAACTAGTTTCAGATTACATCACTGTTTATCCAGAGTCATATAAAATATTATCCATTTGTGTGAAGTTTCATGAATGTCATAATTGCTGTGTGAAGTCTTGAGTAATGTCTAAAAAGTGTTTTGTGAGGTCACTGTGACCTTGACCTTTGACCTTTGACCACCAAAGTCTAAGCAGTTCATCCTCAGGTCTAAGTGAATGTTTGTGCCAAATCTGAAGGGATTCCCTTGAAGATTTCCTGAGATATCATATTCACAGTAAGGTCACTGTGACCTTGACCTTTGACCTTTAGCCACCAAAATCTAATCAGTTCGTCCTTGAGTCCAGGGTTGGGTCGGAAATCACTCACTCATTCACTACTCCCTCCTCACTATCCAGAGAGTTCAATGCAGACGACTGTATAGTGAGCTCATCTGTAAAATGAAAAAACACTTTTGGACTCTACTGTTTTTCTGTCTTTATGCACAAGCGCAATGCATGATGGTATATATTGGTTGGTTAGTAACTGATTGGTTGTACACTACTTTTCACAGTGCATTGTGGGATACTAGGAGTCCAGTATAATAATTCTCACTATACATTCGGAAAGCACTACAAAATGGCAAACTCACTGTATAGTGGACGATTTAGGGACACAGCCCAAGTCAACGTTTTTACCAAATGTGAAGAAATTCCCTCAAGGCTTTATGGAGATATTGAATTCACCAGGCCAAAACTTTTGTGAGGTCACTGTGACCTTGACCTTTGACCCCCCAAATCTAATCAGTTCATCCTTGAGTCCTAGTGAATGTTTGTGCCAAATTTCAAGAAGTTCCGTCAAGGTGTTATTGAGATCATGTCCACGAGAATGGGATGGATGGACGGACAGTCTGAAAACAATATGGATCCGGCTGCGACTGTCGCCAGCACCGAGGCATAAAGATACGAGAATGCAGAATGAGAATAAATCCAGGACTGAGCCTTTTCACACAGTCTGTTGTTGTTTATCGTCTCACTGCCTCATGCTCTCCCATGACAACCCTGCACAGGAACGCCTGAGGTCTGAACTCAGCTTTTACTCTCAGAGCCCCCTCCTCAATATAATACATTAGAAGATGTAAAATCAATGCCCCTGTCCCTGCTACATACATTACATTAAACTGGATCACAAGGCTGTTTGCTGTAGCTGCAGTTATTGATTTCTTTCTATAAGACTTGGCCTCACAAATCGTTCTAATGAGTCTCTAGTTCAGCAGCCCGGCCTCGTCTGCTCCTCTGCCCACACTCAGTGGTGTTGCCTAATGTTGGAGCTCTTCTTCACATTCACAGGGAACAGGGACTCTTCACTGAGCCTCAGCTACAGTCACGTGGCACTGAGTGTTTGTCCTGAACTGTGCTGTGTTGGGGGTCGGAGAGTTTGTGATTGAGACTGATAGGTGTCAACTGACTGTCCCAAACCAGAGAGCTGCCCGTTAGCTGCTGTTGCAGGGGACGAACTGTGAGACACCATCAAAACGTTTCATGTCCTGAATGAGGACACAAGGTCAAACTCATGTGCACAAGCAGGAGTCTCTTTTCTTGTTGATTATTGACAATTTAACCATTTTACTGTTTGACTGTGATAACCTCAACCAGTTCAACCAGAAGCTCATTTGTTGTTACCTGTGTTATTTTACATCTTTACATTTTCTGAACAGTGGTGCAGGTAAAAGTCTTGTTGAGATTAAGTTGTTAAATTGTATTTTATGTTTCTGGTATAAGCAATGCTGCCAATAAACAGCAGCTCAATGTTTTATTTATCACATACCAAGGTACAATGGACAGGATGTAAAGAATGAAATGACAGACTGCAAAACAAAAAATAGCAGCCAATAGAGCAGCATAAAAATATTTTCAATATATTGTTATTAGTCCCATAGTAGATTTCTGTTTTCTGAAGCAAGAGCAACCATCCCTATAAGAATTTCAGTATTTTCTTTTATGACAATTATACAGCTGGACACAGATTCTTCATTGTGAGGATTTGCTGCTTGTTTCATGTAATCATAAACTTAATGTATTTATTCTTGAAGTGTTGGTCGAACAAAACAAACGAGGCTTTGAAAAATTTAGAAAATTGTGATTTGCTTTTCACTATTTTAATTCATTTTATGGACTAAACGATACAGCGGATTAATTGGTCATGAATATAATCTTTACAGTTGCGTCGATAATTGAAATGGAAGTAATTTCTGTATCTGTAACATATGGTGGTTTGGTGCAAATGACTGGAAGAGTAATGCTTAGGGAATACACTTTACACTGCATAGAAAAATCAAACATAAAGCAGAGAGAGAGTGATTCAGTGTGCTATATTAAAGTGAAAGATTTTAATAATCACCTGGTATCGCGCTGCTGCGGCTGTCCTCTGTGGTTCAGCTGCTCTTTAAATGTGAGGAGGCTGATACATGCTGCAGGGCTGCTGCCACACCGCTGACCTTCTTCAGAAGTGCTGCGTGAGGACTAGAGAATATCACACCATCAGACTGTGGTGCAGACCTCCTCCCTCTTACAGACATACTCTGCTCTACAGTAGTAATGCACCACTTCACATATTTTCTCCTGACAGTCATTATAAACACGGTGTTATGTTGCCTACAATAAAAGTAATATGTGTTTTTTGTAGAGGTTTTCTGTAAATGATGCTGCAACAAGACAGTCAACAAGGAAATACAGCAACACACACACATCAAAGACCCAAAGTAATATCTGGTTTGCACATGGACAATTATATCAGCAATATATTGATACATGTGCATGAACCAGTGTAAGTGATGGGGAAATATTGAAGGCAGGAAATGTTATTATTGGTGTTAAAAGAGTAGTTTGACCTTTTGGAAAATTTTGCTTATTTGCTTTCTTGCTGCTGTTTGTACACAAATGATGAAGTTAGAGCCAATAGGTAGTTAGCCTAACATAGCTAAGGGCTAAGTATTGAAACCAAAGCGTTAACTGAAGCCTGTTGTTTTAGGGAATGACCAGCGCGAGATTAGTCCTTGGCCAGGTTCAGTGACTTCCTGTTTTTCAGACAACCAGGGTTTTTTTTTCCTTCATTGCTAGCTGTTTCCCTCTGCTTCCAGTCTTTGTGCTAAGCTAAGCTAACCATTTCCAGACTGATATCAAACCTCTTCATTTAAGTCTCAGCATGATATTTCCCCATGCGTCAAATTATTTCTTTAACGTCAGACCTTTCAGGCTAAAACTATCCCAGTTAGCCCTTAACATTTTCTGTTAACACAAGCATTTACAGAAATCATTAACCCAGAAGGTAACTTGTCACCCTGTCACTGTTAATGGGTGTTAAATCTCTGTAGATTTTACAGCTGACTTCCTTCTTTCCACACAGAACTGAATTCAAGGCTTACACAGATGTGAAGCCCACCAGGATGATCCGGGCCAAGTCCCAGTACCTGCCCCCGGATGACAAGACCAGCCTAGAGACCAGCTACAGTGCCACCTTCAAGGGGCAACAAGCCCCGCTGCGGTCAGCTGACAACAAGGCCGTGGAGAGGAGGAGGATACGCAGTTTGTACAGCGAACCTTATATAGAACCCTCCAAACAGGTGAGAACGCACCTGTCTAACTGTAGTGTGGTTAAAAATGTATGTAGGGAGGGGATAGCTGATAAAATTACTGTAATGCTGTAAAATCACACAACACAGTTTTGGAAATTACTGGCCAACCCAGCAATCTGATTTCCGCTATCCAACATCCTTAGGTTGACAGATATAGTGCCACTCGCTCTAAACCCAAAAGGTCTGGAGCCACAGCGGCAGGCCAGGGCAAGCCAGTGAAGAAAGCCAAAGATAAGCAGAGCGCCGCGCTGAAGGGCTCCAAGAAGACGACCTCGGAGAACCAGCCCGAGAACCGGCCGGCGGTGGGGGACAAGGAGAAAAGTAAAGAGATGAACAACAAACTGGCTGAGGCAAAAGAGTAAAAATCATTAAGCACTACTTCTCCTTTTATTTCTTATTTTCTGGGGGAAATCAGACTCAGAGGCTGCAAAATTAATTAAGGTTCTCATCATTCTCATCTTTCTCTTCTTTCGTCTCTGTTCCCCCTCGGGTCTCTTCTTCTTCTTCTCTTCTTCTTTATTCAGTCTCTCAGTATCCACTCATTCTTCTCTGTCCTCTCACTACCTCTTGGCTACGTTTGTACAATAGCACTAGAATAAGATGTCGACATGACATGTCATCGCTCCTCCTGCCTCACGCTATGTTAGATCGCTATTGTAACGAGTGGGTAGAAGCGTCCTCTTCCTCCGCCATTTGATGCCACCCACCACCCCCACTCTGCTCGCCTCCATCTCCAGGTTGCCATGGCTACCGGCTGCCTGGCTAGCCAATGGATGGCTCTTGTTGCATGGGCCCACCAACAAGCAATTCTGAAGGGTTGGCTTTGATCAGCTGAGCAGATTGCTTTGTTGAATTTATCAAGGATTTTTTTTCCTTCTTTTGTTTTTTTTTTTGGTTTTATGAAATAAAGATAATCCAATTGGCACTTTGGACATGGTCCCTGCTCTTTCTAAATTAACATCAAATCTGAAAATCTTTGATAAATGTCCCGCTTGGTTTAGTCATGAGTGTCTGATCCACAGCTTGTTTTGTACCTGCTCTGTCATCTCCCCTGCTGTCCTCTGTTCACGTAGAGCTCACAGGGCTCAGTGTGTGTTGGGCAACACCTTGTTAAATGTGATTTAGCAATTCAATGTCTCATTTATAAGATACATATAGAATTATTTCATCTTAAGTAAAACACCCAGTTTGTTTCCTTTGTTTATGTGAAACCGACTCACACAGTTCACTCAAGGTTATTTTGCGACACCCAGTTTGTTGCCAACAAACCATCTGGGTCACACTAAACTGATTATGCATTAAACACCAGTCGTTTGCATAGCAGATGAGAAGTCCCGCTGAATTAGATAACACAGTCACGCAGTCCTAATGTCATTATTAACATTAGAGTAATAACATTTTTCAGAACCAGAGAGCGATGCGTTCATAGATGTTGTGTTGAGTTGTATTCTGTCTATCATTCCCAGTGTGCAGAGCAGTCAGTCTCAACAACCATAATTCACATATTGTGTAATCACATATTATCTTTATTAACAAGCTTCACAACAGTTATGCAATTGCAGTAGCCTGCGCCGAAACACACGCCTCCTCTTCTTGAAATGTACTCTGCCCAGGGTGACCGTAACCAATGTGATTAGACCGCCATGGGACGACATGCAGACGGCTCATATTGCTGCTTAACAGCACTTTCCACATCACCTTTGAAGAGGGAGCTTTATGGATGAAGACAGAATCACTATTCATATAAATCACAAAAGATCCACCGTCATTTGTTAACATGAGAAGTTTAGATTCAGTATTTTATTCTTATATAAACCAATAACTTCACCTTCTGTGTCATCTTCTCGTTTTGCCCAGATTCCAGGCTGAAAGTATGAAGAGTAAGTTGGTTTGATGAGGTTGAGGTTGTTGTAAAAAAAAAAAAAAAGAAAAAAAAAGATGATTCCACACTGGATCTACTTCGGCTCTGTGTGGCAGGTGCAACATGTTGGAGCCGTGTTTGTATCCAGCAAAAGCAAAACCAAAACAAGCTGTAAAGCCTCTGTTTTTAACTTCTGGTTTAATCCAGATTTCCTCAGTGAGATGTGTTGAAGAAAAGGGAACAAAAAGTAAGTTGTATTGTGACTGTTTATCTGTTAAAACAAATTATAACCTCCTTTGTATATAAAGCTTATATTTGTGTATATATATCATAGCAGGGCTACATGTTGGCTAGAGCCAAAGCATCCAGCTGTTTTCTCTAAATCTTAGCATATATACGTATAGAGACGCCTATTTTTTGGGCTTAGAAGAGCACTGTTCAGTCTTATCATGGGTCAACCCGTCAGTGTGCTCCACTCCCACGCAAAACACCTCCCTGTTCTCATTGGTTCTGCTTCCTTCCCTCCATTCTGATTGGACGAGTCTCTGTTTTTCTGTGGTGTCTGACGCAGCAGCAACCATCACTGCAAACCACCATGTCTGTCCAAGCCGAGCACGCGCCCCGTCAGGAGTGAAGGCCCAACTCATTAGCATTTCGCAGCCTTTGGTTGGGGGGACGCTTTGTCATGTAACACAAAGGAGGGGGCTTGCAGGAGCAGTAAATGTACACAGTGCTTAGCACACACCACACACCTGGTGCTATCTTTGTGAGTATTAGGCAAATAAGGATAGAAAGTATGGTAAAGAAAGTTCTGTCTTGGGCAAAAAAAGAAAAAAAGAAGAAAAAAAAGAAAAGAAAATTGACTGTGACGTGCTTGTGTTTCTATCTGCTTGCTCATATTTAATGAAACATTACAAATAAATGCAAAAAAGCAGAAAAAGCAGTGTCTTCTTTCTTCATTTTGTTAAGAAGATTAGTGGTTGCAGGTATCTGTCAGTGTTTCTCTTGTCCCAGTCTTTGTCTTTGTGAGACAGAAAACATTTTGTTTTTAAATAAATCCACATGGAAGAGAATTTTTTTGCTCTCACTACTTCTTTCTATGCTTATCCAAGATCGCACCGCATTCTGGCATGAGCTCTGACATCCTGTCCAGGCCCTGCATGTTGCCCTCATGTGAGAACTGAAGAATATATTATTCCTGCACCTTGTCGCAATATATTCCAAGAACTCATCCAACTTCTAGAGCAACATGCATGTCAAAGGATGTCCAGAAACTTATTCCAGAATAAGATGTCATGTGCTTCTTTATGCCTCAAGTTCATGTATAAGTGATGCTCTTTAATGTGAAAAAAACAACCAGAAATGTGTGATATGACATTTGCTTTCTCATCCTATAGTCTGGTGTCATGGTTTGAATATTTGAGGATGTCACATTTGGATGATGCTGTGTCCAATTTCCTGTGTGCTAATGAGTGACATTCTGATTCATTTGAAGGGTTGTGCTAAAACAGTACCACTACATACAACTCTGCCAGCCAATCCGAGATATTGGCTGGGTGCAGACTCTAAAGCAACACCTGTGGGGCTGTGCACTTCCCAATCCCAGGTAACCAATCACGAGAGCAACTAAAGAAAAAAAAAAATAGACTGCGATCCACAAATGCTACTCATACCCATTCATACATGCTCATGGAGTTTGTTATTTACTTTTCTTTTCTATTACAGTGGCACAGTTTTGTTTTTTCTGGTGAACCACCACATTATTTCTGGTCCACTCCTCAGGTCATAGCCCTTCTGTATTTCTCTTCCATATGGACATTTGAGTAAGGGGTGGGAGGGGGTGAATGGGGCTGTCTGATTGCCTGCTGTCACATCCTACATACCAGGTTCCTTAAGGTGCCTTTTCTTAAGGAGGCCACAGGTTTAGTCCAGTCATCTCCAACATCACAGTCAGCTGCAGTGACGCAGCCGCTCTTCATGGGTCAAAACAACCTGCATGACTTGAAATATCCACCCAGGAGGGAGAGTGGAGGTCACCTCCTCACACATGTAATACTGGTTTAAATTTTCATACTGTGTTTAGACTATAAGGATCATTTCTTTCATTCTGAAGCATGCCGCCACTGTTTTCTGTTGGACCTGCAATCGGATTTTATGTTGGGTCTAGATTTTGCACTGTACCTAGAATATCTGTTGAGCATTAGCATGGATATGAGATGGACTCACCTGGGGTAAGTACAAGTGGAATGAGGGAAGTGGCTCTGCTTTGGAAAGTGACTGTTCAAAGGAAATTGTAAGTGCATGTTCAAGATCTTCACTCCAATTTGTAATTTGCTAATTGATTTCCATTCACATATGATTTAGATTTCTCAATAATGTATCTGCATCCTGTAGCTTTCTTTCACAGAACACCCCGAGACCCTCATTGCACTATTGGCATCCTGTAGTTCGCGTCACTGAGATTAACTGAGTGGGTCAAAGTGTCGATTAAAGCCAATGGCCTGTATTGATCTAATGGCACAGTTGTCCAATTCATCATTAGAAATAGACCAAACACTTCATTTTACATCTGTATCCATTTAGTCCAGTCAAGTTTTCAAAGTCACACTATGTATTTCAAGATTTTTTTAGCTGGTAAATTATAACAAGATCATCATGAGGCAATATCAATGGCAAGCAAACAAAAAAAAAGAATCCTGCAGTGTTGCTGCATCTTTGTCTCCAACTTGAGTTTTCATCCCTAAAACAGAAGTCTGATCTTGGCCTCTGAAATGACGGTCACAGGGTGCTCGGCTCGACTCAACCCAGTCACATGCTGTTGTTCACCTGAGAAAAATGCCTCATCGTGTCTCTCTCTCTCTCTCTCTCTCTGTCTCCTTCTTCTTCTCTGGTATCTTAACCATGTGCTGCCTCCTAGAGATGCTAAAGACGAGGTTCTCCGACCCAGTCATCATCATTCCCAGGGTGCTGCTGGAGGAGAACCACCACCACCACTGGAAAGAGCCGAGCCGCGTAGGAGCAGCGGAGTCGTACGCTTTGCCCTAGATGTGAACCAGACTGAGTAGTTCTGCCTCTGAGGAAGGAGGCAGTTACACCTTCATACAGACACTGCTGCTCTGTACTGTAAATATCTAGTATTTAAAATGGATTAGGAAAAGAGATGAATCCTACACACAGAAAAAAGCTCACATATTTGAAACACGCATGTTTGAAACAGCTTCTGGCTCAGAGGTCACAGCTGTTTGACCCAAACGGCATTATTGCAAAGGTGCTATATTATTTTCTGGTTTCATGCAATTTATTTTGAAGGATATTGTCAATATTGTTAGAGATATCACACCATAAAGTGCTTATACTACAATTACAAAAACCTGTACTGTACATTGATCGGTTTTAGTGTAAATAAATGAGCATAACTTGCAGATTGCCATACTGTATTTTAATGTGTGTTGTATGGTGGTCAGATGTGTTCAGATAGTGGGTTAGAAGAGTACGAAATGATGAAGAGAGATGAAGTGATGAAGAGTTCAGCGTGTTGCATCGGGAGAGGACTCCTGAATTCTGTTGGTTGCAGGAAATAAAACTTTGGGACAGAAAAGAGAAAAAGGACAAATGGTTTTTGACGTGACAAAGTTATAAAATCGTCTCTTCTGCCGAAAGGATACCTGCGTTTGGGTATCTGTAAAAAAAAATTATACTTTTTATGATATCTTACCTGCAATGGACTGGCGACCTGTCCAGGGTGTACCCCGCCTCTCGCCCGAAAGGATGCTGGGATAGGCTCCAGCCCCCCCGCGACCCTACTAGAGGATAAGCGGTAGACAATGAATGAATGAATGAAAATGAATGATATCTTACATCATATTCAAATATGTTTTTAGAAATAACCATTTTTTTTGGTTTAACAAAAGAAGCCAACGTTTTAAAGTCTTCTCCATTCAAAAAAAGTTTGTTTCTGTGTAATTGTTTCTTCACTTGGAGAGTTTCTGTGTTCACCTTAAATCTGACTTGAACACATTCATATGAGCAACTAGTTTGGAAGCCACTCGTGATCCAGTTCACACACACTGAGAACGGACACATCGTGTGTAGATGAAATCTCACAAAGTTTCATATCAGACACAAATTCTTAGTATTTATTTTGTGTTTTTATTCGTTTTAAAAAGGAACTCCAGTGACAATCCGCATCAATGTCTGTTTCCAGGCGTGGGGAGCACTACTAAAGCGTTTCGTGTCTCTGAAGGGAGCTGTGTGGTGACGTCTGATAAATGTCCTCAAGTGATGTCACTCGAGTCAGCATCAGTTGGGTCTGAAGACTACAAGTTTGAAAAGTAAAAATATCTATGGAAGTTTGGAGTTTGAAAGCCGTGAGCTTACCAGACCTGTGTGACCCGTTCATCTTCTCTGCTCAAGGCTTCATCAGCTGCTACTAGAATAACACACACCTGAATCTCTGACCGAACCGCTGGCGTTGTATCAATGCAGGTTTTAACGAGGAAGAGGAGCGTGTGGAATAACAAAGACAAGATTTCTGCTTCTGCTGCATAGATTATGATCCATTTGTTTTAAACTATCCATCATGAGTCTGACAGTGTTGTAGGAAGTTATTTCTCGGAGTTATTGCACATACCATTCAACCATTCCTCCACCCAGATGGTTTTATGTGTCAGTGTCAGGATAATAACACTATAAGACTAGTTCCTCTTGGTGGCTTTCCAAGAAGAGTCCTGGACTTTTAATTTTTACCTTTTGGAGGGAAATTAACTGTTAATAAGCAGGTAGCAAAATAAAACAGAAAACTTTATATGTACTTGTTCAGTACAACTAAAAATTCTCAACAAATTACAAAATATCGGACAACGTCAAGCAACAACAAGAAGAACGTTATGTTATTACTGAAAAGGATGTGTGGAAAGGTGTGATGATAAGAATAGAACTAAACAGAACTGACCACAACCTGGGAGCAGCTGGTGGGAGCAGCTGGTGGAAGCTGCGATAATTTGGCAATTTTAGAGAAAGCACCAGGTCGTCAGGTACAGGAAAGCCGCTGCGGCCCGTGGAGCTGTGGCGGTCCGGTCGACGTAGAGATGCTGTGGTGGTGCCAGAGGCTCACAGGAGATCGAAAATTAGGCCTGCTGGTCTGGGTCGGGGAGGGAGTGGACAGGGTGGAGACCCCTTGCACCAGTCAACAAGCAAACGTCAAGATGCGTTCAGGTGAGGGTCAGTTTTCTTAGAGCAAGATATCAACCTCAGAGTTATCACACCACATAAGGACCTCTTTTCCTGCAAGTTAAATCTCAAAGACAATGAAATGCACATGAATTTATCCTGCTCAATATAGATCCAGTGATTAGAACCATGGACCTTTAACTATTGCTGATATTTTCATAACTGGCTTCGATGGGACATACAAACTGATTAAATTATATTGTGATGTGCTACTTAAACACTAATGTGGGTATTATCATATTTAGATACATTAGAAAATGGTATTAAAGGCAACACTCCAGATCCAACATCATCCAACAAAAGACAGTGAGACAAGTCAGGAACTAGAACTTGTCCATTATAAAACCACTCTGCTTATTCAACCATGAGTCTGGACAAAACTAGGGAACCGGTTGCCTTGCACTTCCTGTCAGAAACCCTAACCAACAACAAAATGGAAAGAGCGATGGATTATTTTCTTTCCTTAAAAAGCACAAGCAGCATTTTTGGAGGCCATTTTTGGCAACCTTTTTGAGCGCCCCATTAAGGCAGGTATTCATATTTTATTCATGTCTTACACTTCAGCATGTAAGAGAGAGGGAGAGAGATGAGGAGACAGGGCAGAGGGGAGGGAGGGGGACTCAATGAAGTGGCTGGTTTGAGGTTTTATTGTAGATAAGCTGTTTCCTTGTCGCAGCTCATTTTACTCCTCATTAGGCCGCGCTCCTCTCCTTACTGCTGTACGTGACAATGTATGCAACTATATTCACATGCGTACAAATGTACACACCATGTGCAAATGCAACATTCAGTGATGGAGTCTCGTCACGACGTGCGTTGGTGCTGGAGATGTTTGGGATTTGTGTAACTGTGCACTGACAGACTATTGTCTTTAACAAGCTGCGGGGGAGGGGAAGCAACACTCAAACTGTCAGTCTTAATCAGCAAGTCAGCCATCTTGTTACAACACTCACAAATAATTCAAAACTCAGAGGACTGTGCTGAGAGCAGACCACCATCAGTTCTGTTGTGTTACAGTGTTTATACCTGAGAAACACCAGAGGGACAGTCTGTTCCAGAAGATCTATACTGCATTTCTGTCTGTTAGTTTTGCCATGACACTATATGTTTTTAACAACTGGTAACACACATTGTTCTACGCTGAATTCACCTTTTCACAGTTTCTTTACTGACATGCAGAAATTGCATTACAAGAGAAAGAGGTGATGTGTTTCCATAGGCTTTTTTACATTTTTGCATGAAGTAATTCTAAATACTATACATAATCACTACACGTTTGTATAGGATAGAAACACAACATCCCCACACATATCTCACTCATGCGCTCGCCTGCAATACTCCTGGTAAAGAATCTTTGCAGTCTGATCAATCCCTGGAAATCTCCCGCAAATATGACCTGACATCCAGGAATCATCACATCCAAGAGGGACATTTGATCAGGTGGTTTATTGTCATAAACTTTCCACCTCAGTAAGGAGAAGAATTCCTCTGTTGGGTTCAGGAAGGGACAGCAAGGTGAAAGGAAAAGTGGCACCAACCTGGGATTGGCTGTAAACCTCCCTCTGATTGGAAGAGAAGGAATGAAGGGGAAAGAAGGTGAAACAAATGTGCTCAGTGTCCCAGTTAGAAGTATTTGCATTTTTAGATTTCTTTTTTTATATCTTATAAATAAATAAAAATTATTATTAATTTCTTATGATAAATTTGAAAGATTTGACAATAGTATGTGCGTATGTGTAAGTTAGTTGTGGTTTAGTTTGAGTGACTGAAGATGATCCGGGGGTAAATCCACATTGACTGCTGTAGTGCTGACGACCACCAAAAAAAAGTATATAAAAGTATCGAGAAACATGTTAGTGGCTGTAAAAAATCAGCTGTTTTCAGACGCAACGAGTGCAGACCACCAACTCCCTGCTGGAAGTAGCCATTAGAGGATGGTAAACTGTGGCCATGAAGGGATGAACATGATCAGCAACAATACTCTGTAGATAGACTATGACATTCAAACCATGACTGATTGGTATTAAGAAGAAAACGTTCCCCACCCCATTACACCAGCAGCAGCAGCAGCCTGGACTGTTGACACAGAGCAGGTTGGGTCCATGGATTCATGTTGTTGATGTCAAATTCTGAAACTACCATCTGCTGCCTGAGCAGAAATCATACGCATTTTTTTCCTTCATTCTGATGTTTGACGTGAACAATGACTGAAGCTCCTGACCTGGATCTGCATGTAGTTTATGCATTGCACTGCTGCCGAAATTCATTCGTGTGTGTGTGTGTGTGTGTGTGTGTGTGTGTGTGTGTGTGTGTGTGTGTCATAAAGAGCTTGGTGATTGTAGATTATCATGTTGATGCATCAATGTGTAGAAAGCATTTTACTTTTGTAGTTGGTCGAGGTATAACTGATTTTAAACACTTTATTTTACAGGTCTCGGGTCTCAGGTCTCTTCCAATTAAGAATGAATTGCTCTTGTAAGTTACATGGTGTTTTAGTCAGTCGTTAAGATTTAAGTTGCTTCTTCATGGAAATTTCACTAAAAATCAAAATCCCACACAACTAACAAAATAACTGTCTATACTTAAAGTTTATCATATTCTCATCATGTTTTCCTTGTAAAATCGAAGAACAATGTTTCTCTCTGAATTGTACTTGAGTAGATGTATGAAGTGGCAAAGTACAAGTAACTCTATTTGTATTTAAGTTCAGTACTTGAGTAAATGTGTTTATTCCACCACTTGAGAGTACTAATGATTCATTGACTGACTAGTAAAAGTCACACAGCAGGTGACTGAGATTTTCTCCAGACAGTGAAATTAGACTGCTCATGTTTGAAGATCACAATCCATTACACTGCTCGGGTACTGGGAGGAATGTCCTGAGGTGGTCTATAAAAACACAGTCAGGATCTTTAATTAGTTATGACCTGTGTGTGTGGGAGTCTTTGGAGATCCCTGCTTATCCTGCACACACAAATACACGTACACACACACACACACACACACACACACACACACACACACACACATGCACATATGGACTATAAACTATGATGAATGACTGTGTCTTAGAGCCGCCCTGACCTGGATGAACAGAAAAAGAGACGGATGAGAGGAGGAGGGGGAGGAAAGAGGTAGGCCTGTAGAGACGGATCATTTTGCGGCCATTAAGAGGGCTGTGGCTCTGCTGCTTCCCGGAACATAGACATGCAGAGTGTGAAAACTAATTTCTCCTCCAGCAAACACCCCTGATCCCCAGGGGCTGACTTATGAATTCAGGAATCACTCCCTAGACACTTGTTTTCTGTATTTAACAATGGGGATTGGGGCTAGTTGTGCGTGTGTGTGTGTGTGTGTGTGTGTGTGTGTGTGTGTGTGTGTGTGTATGTGTGTGTGTGTGTGTGTATGTGTGTGTGTGTGTGTGTGTTTGTGTGTGTGTTTGTGAGGGTTGTAAATTATGAAACACTCACACACTGCTGTTTTTAAAAGCCAATTCAAGGCCATCAACTGTAGATTAACTGCAGCACATACACTTGCATCTCCACATCTGAACACAGAAGCTGTTTAATCAATAATAAAGGCACATTTCAGCTGATTTCACGCTTTTGAACTGAAACAGTTCCCCGCTCTTTCTCTTCTTTTGATCACTATAGCTCTCCCTCCCTCCCTCCCTCTCTCCATCCATCATTCCCTCCATCCCTGCACTGGGGCTGTTGCCATAGAGACAGGTTGCCAGGTCTCGGGCAGTGGGATAGAATGGGTTAATTAGGAGGCGGAGCATTTACAGCCCTCCAGATGGTGGTAAACCCTCCTTCACCACAGGTCTCCAGGGACCTCCTCTCAAAGAGAAAGCCTCTCCTGTTTAGTATTCAGCCCCTCACTGTCGATCCAGGAGCTGCATTTATGACCCTGTAGTCAACAATGTGGGATTATGGGAAGTGCAGGGAAAAGCTGGATCCTCCTCTTCAGCTCTGCTGAGCTGTGAAAGATCTTTTTCAGTAACCACTGATCTGATTAAAGGCAGGACATGACACCGCCGTTCCCCTCAAGGACCAATCAAACAATGAAGATGTTTTAAAAAATTTCTTTTCATATCGTCTGATACCTTTTCCTGTCCTCTGTAAACACTGTAAACATTGTGTCTCTGTGCATGCAGGTAGCCATTTTGCACTGTATTTTACAGCTGAAGAACTGAGCCACCAACGCCCCCAAGTGTCTGTGTTCATACACAACATGTTTATTGTCAGCACTTGGAGCACATATTAAGAGTTTGTACAAGTAAGAATAGCATGAATATTTCAGATGTGTAACAAATAGTGCACGACTTGTAGAAAAATAGCAGCTAAAAGAAAATGTAACAACTGTGCCTGAACATTATTGTAACTGGTATATTTAAAGGACATTGGATTACATGAACATGATCATTTATACAAACTAATACAGTGCAATTACAAGTTAACATTACAGCTTAAGTAAAATGTTCTCCGAGCACATTATTTCAATTTCAAACTTTCCTCTCCGTTACCACGTCTCTTGTTTCTTATTGTGAAATGTTTTGTTCACATCTAAAGCCAAAATATAGATGAGAACATTTGACTTTTAAAATGTGTAACAAATCATAGTATTGATGGTATGTTATTTAATAAAATAATAAATATTTCTAAAATATTTGTAGTATCTATATTTGACAAACATGCAACAACTCTATCATTTTAATATTTTAAATACATATTGATGGGCAGGTGAAATGTAAATTTCTGTACTTCATTGATTCATGTGCAAAGACTTGCAATATTTGGTGCGAACTAATGCGTGAATGATGCAACAGTGACACCCAGTGGCGACTGCACGGTAAAAGCCTGCTGAATTTATCTGCTGTTGCAATTTTCCAATCCTGTGACTTTGGTTGGGGGGTGCTGCTGCACCCCTAGGTGTTGAAGACAAGGTAAGTGAAGTTCTCCTCCTTGGGTTTGACGCTGAAGTTGTAGTGTCCAATGCGATTCCTTTGGCAGTAGAAAAGGCACACAAAACCGATAATGAAGATGAGCGTCAGACCGACTCCAAGACAGGAGAAGCCAACTATATGAAGAGTGTTGTATTCCTCCTCCAAGAATGCTGCAAGAACATGAGTCAGGTGAAAGCAGTAAAATCAGTAAAGATACAGTAAACAGGAAAACATGAGGATTTATTTGAAGAGGGATTGGAAAAGTCAATAAAAAAACATAATAAGGAAAAGACAGTTGGACTAGTTTGGTGAGTAATTAAAACAAAATCTTTCAAATTTTCAAATTTTCAATTAAACCATGAGTCTCACAAGTTTATCAATACCTCAATACCCAAAACCTCAAATATGTTTTATCATGTTCAAGGTTTTTGAATGTGTATTTTCCATCAAGCTACTTAAGCTTGCCTCTCCACCAGACTGATGATAGAGACAGGAGCACTGCTGCTATAATTTATCAGCTAAACAGCCCGTTTAGGATTTTAAAATAAAGAGACACTCATGTTTATGAAGAGGACTTGAACAGCTCTTCTACTATTAAAACTAGCCAGTAGCCAGTAGTAGAGTATTAGCTGGAGAGTCATTGTTACTTCAGCTAAGAATGGTTATTTTTCTAGCAGAACCACACATATTAAGAGAAGTGTGAAATGTTTTATAATAGACACTGTTATTCTCTGGAGAGATACTCACTTAGAGCTGATCTGAGCAGAGGTCCAGAGGAACCAAAGGCTGTACCAATCGTGTTTGAAGATCGAGCTGTTCTTTGAAAACAGTCCTGCAAGAAAACACAAGTAAAGATGATAAAGGAGAGAATTCTTCTTTCTTCTTCTAATCTTGATCATTCAAGCAATTAGATGCTTAAATCAACGATAGATTCATCCACTCTATAAAAGCTGCAAGGTGATTGATGATTATTTTTGAGAGGGATGCACTCACAGGCACACAGGTATCTGATCCAATCTGCACACAGATGTGGACCTGGCAGTGCAGGTAGATCACATTCAGGTTGACGAAGGAGAATATCTGCACAGACACGCGAGACGTGCTGGAGTTTCCGTTCATCAACACTTTGGTGTACATGTTCAGCGAACAGCTGAGGAGACAAGGAAATGAGAGACTGAACCAGCAATGTCTTTTTAAATCGAATCAAGATCAATACCACTCTCATGTACAGTATGTTTTTTTTAAATATGCTACAGCCAGGAGGTGGTTAGCTTAGCTTAGCATAAAAACTGGAAACAGGGGTAAACAGCTTCTTCCGCTAACAACATCCTCTACAGTTATTAATGTTATGTTACTGATACTGATTGTAAGGAATAAACAAACACAACATAATGTGTTACATACTGAGCTGAAGAGGTGCTGATAGGTAGATTTTATGACTTCAGACAGATCCAGGCCAGCTGTTCCCCACTGCTACCACTCTCTATGCTGAGCTTACAATATAAAGCCACAGCCAACACCTTTTAGCTTTATATTTTACAGACAGGTAACAGAGTGGTATCAATCTTCTCATAACACTCAGCAAAAAAAAGTAAATAAGCATGTTTCCCAAAATGTTGATCTATGCCTTTAAGGGAACAACAACATAGCATTGTTATAATTTAATTTATTTATAAGCTTAAATACTGAATTTTATGTTTAGAGCATGGGGCAGTCTGGCTACAATATTACAGAATCTTTATCAGGCAGATTACAACACATGAAATGGTGCACATGTTCTCAGCCTTTTTTAGCCCGTGACCCTATTTTTAGGTCCCAAAGACCACCCAGCAACCCAGCAGTTAGAGTGTTGCTATGGAGATCTGAAAATCAGTTACCTTAGTATCTTATTTTGAAAAGCATGAATGGAGCTCATCATTTATTTCATGGAAAAAAATGAAGTCAAGACTGGCTATGGAAGTAATTTTTTTTTTTTACCCCCATTATCTAGAGATGGATGGTTAATTGTCGTTTTCTCATGATAGCCATCGTTATCTGGTTATCTTCTTTTTTTTCAAGCTAATCATTCTGGTATCATGAGAAACCAACTGTATTCCAAGACAACAAAATAATTAACTTGATATCTTGAGACAACGGATAAAGTAAAATTGAGCTGTTCATACAACCCAAATAACATATTGACACTTTTTAAAATAAAATAATACATAAATGTTATAAGTCTGCCAGGACCCTTTGTGGGGACCCAGTCCCAAGGCTGAGATTCTCTGAAGTAGTGGTAATAGTGATGTTAGTAATAAAATATGTAATTAACGTGAGAGAAAGAGTACATGTATGGTTATCTGAAATCCTAACAGTAATAGCAACAGTGATAGGAACATGGTACTGTGGGTAGAAGCAGACCTGTTCTCCAGGAAGGTGTAGCTGTAGGTGTCTGCAGGATTTGGGGTTGGAGTGGCCCAGCACTTGTTGATGATGACTTTAATCTGCTCTGAGGAGGTGTTCAGGCTGACCTCCACCACCACGATGTCATCAGGGGACAGGCTGTAGTTGTGGGGTAGAGGCACTGTACCGTTCATCAGCTGCACCGTCACCTGGAATGACCCCAAGCCCATGATGACATCTTTGATCATGTTATACCTGGAGATGGGAGATAACACAGTACATTCAGCCATAAATACAAGTGGAACACATTGTAAAAAATGTGACTGGATTTATTAACTCGTCAATTTTACTCTTAGTTTTATAAAGCAAGTAAAATTATAAATATTCTTCAGATTATACTTGTTGTTGTTGTTTATCGACTACAACATGAAACAAGTCAGATAAAGATGTGTGGAAAAGAATGGATGGATATTTTTCTGTAAATTACAGTTTATGGGCTGACTACGTGACACCCAGAACCTGTCTCACCACAACACACTCCATTATACTTGACTTGTTATTATTATTGTTTTTGGGGTGTTCAGTCAAACCTGAAAGTAAAGCTGTAATTTTTAAAAGAATAGTTTGACTTACTGGGATTTCCACCTATTCTCTTTCTCGCCAAGAGTCAAATGAAACGGTTACTCTCACATCTGTATGGAATATATGTAATTAGACCTAGCAGACAGTTAGCTTAGCACAAAGCCAGGGGGAAACAGGGGGAAATCAGCAAACAATATGAGAATTTGGTACTATTTCTTGGCAGGGACCAGATGCCAGACAACCAGTGGAGACTGGACTGTGATGCACCAGCTATTCATTCATTTATTATTTAGTTTGGCTGTATGGTCCTCAGTAACCACTAACTAGTTTCAAACTAATGATTTACTCAATCAGGTCGCACCATTACAACTTAAGAAATGTCTTAGCTTGTGAAGACTTTTGCTAAGGTAACTTCGATATTTTTGACTCATTTAGGTTAGTCAAATGTTATTGACATAACGTTTCATAATTTGACTAAAATGGTTACTTCCATACCAATACCAATCAATCATGGTTTGAATTCCACAGCCTAGGGTATTGTTGCTACCCATGTGTATCCCTTTATGGCCACAGTTTACTATCTTCTGTCACAAAAAGTCATCTCAAACTGGCTTCATGAACATGACAGTGAGTTCAGTGCACTTCAGTGACTGCTGATTTCTTCATGTGCATGTTTGTCAACTGCTTCAGCAGCTCTAGGGCTATTTTGAAAAATGCTAAAGTTATCATGGCAGCAAGTGAAGCGTACCCCATGGAGCCAAAGTCAGCAGAGATAAGCATGCTCTTCAGGTAGGTACACATGATGGGAACCTCCAACTGTTTTTTGGGCACCTCCACTGTTCCACTGGGTGAGATGGATGGATCCATGGTGTTGAACAGGGTTACAGATGCCGTGTAGTAGGTTTCATTCTAAAACACCAGATGTTGGAAGCAGTTTGAATTCTTTTCAGAGTTAATGCACTTCAGTTGTAGAGATAAAGTGTTATCATGCATAGAATCTACATAAGCACAAGTAAAGTTTCCCAAAAGCATCAGTTTTTCAGAAGAGAAAAAAAACTCACATGTACAAGCCTGGTATCACAATCGTCCCAGCCCACAGTCAGCTGGACATGGGTGTCATTGCCTCCATTGACGCCACATTCCTGCAAGCCCAAGTACAGGGCGCTTTCCCTGATTGTGTTGTTCAGAAGAAAATCCTTGGCAACTGTCACAGTGATGGCAGCAACCCTGCACTGGACTGAGACGCCCTTTAACATAGAGACACTGGTGGCAGTTCTCATGGCAGCTGTAGCAGTGGTAAGGGTGGTTGTCGGGTTGGCAACGGTTGTAGGGGTAGAAGTCATGTATGTCATTGCAGTAGTGGTTGCTGTAGGGTCAGTAGTGTTGATTGTGGGGTCAGTAGTGGAGGTTGTTGGGGCAGTAGTGGTGGTTGTTGGGGCAGTAGTGGTGGTTGTTGGGGCAGAAGTGGTGGTTGTTGAGGCAGTAGTGGTGGTTGTTGGGGCAGAAGTGGTGGTTGTTGGGGCAGAAGTGGTGGTTGTTGGGGCAGTAGTGGTGGTTGTTGGGGCAGTAGTGGTGGTTGTTGGGGCAGTAGTGGTGGTTGTTGGGGCAGTAGTAATGGTTGTTGGGGCAGTAGTAATCGTTGTTGGGGCAGTAGTAGGGGTTGTTGGGGCAGTAGTAGTGGTTGTTGGGGCAGTAGTCATTGTTGTTGGAGTGGTAGTTGAGACCATTTCATTTATTGAGTGTATAGTGAATGTGATTATCCCAGGAGTGGTGGTTACAGTGGTTAACGCTGGATCATTGTTTGGGGGCGACATGACAGAGAAAGGGGTAGTGCTAACTGTAGAAGATATTGTGGGTGTCGCTGATGGTGCCATTGTCTCCAAGGTAGAAATTGCTGCACAAGACAAGATATTCTTGTTACGAAAAGCATTGATATTCTGTTATTCTGTGAAAAATGAATCTAACACTTCCACACTGTGAGACCCTACCTTGACAGGCTCGTCCAGGTCTGCCTGGGTTGTTGTCAGTAAATCCCTCCAGGCAAACACACCCGTAAGAGCTCCAAGTGTTTGTGCATATGGCCCATTGGGAACAGTCATTTTCCCCTGACAAACATTCATCAGAATCTATAAAAAACAAAATATTTTGGCTCAGTAAGTCAGTTTTTATCTAGTTCTTTAGTATTGTGCTTCTATGTTCCTGGTTTCCAGATATGACAAAGCCTCTACACTACATTTCAGTTTGTCTGATGCTTGTTTGAATTTTAGAAATCTCTTGATTGTTTTTGGACACAAAAAAGGTCACTACTTTATGGCAAGACACAGAAAGAAACTCACATTTTTCAAGCAAAAGGAGCTGTAAGGTCTCACTATTTTTCATCCAGAAAAAATATTTTCAGGCTGTAAAAATAGTGAAAGGAGAAAAGACCAACAAAAAAATGTGTAGTCCTTATTTTTGCAACACTAATGCATTATTGTTGTTGCCACTTTAAGGTATACTCCAGCAATTTTTGTGCACGTTCATGTTTGCAGTCTCACAAGTCATTTGAAAATGTAAAAAATGGTCAAAATACATAATCTCACAATGTAATTCAACAGCATAATTTGGTATACCCTCAGTGTAACTTCTGCCCACAGATCCAAGTCTTCAAGCCAAAGCCAGGATAACCATCAGGGTTTATTTCCATACTTTGGAAAGCTTGCTCCAAATAAGACATTATACAACTGTTTTCATAAACTGATTAGTACTAATCCTCCATAACAAATCTAAACTAATCTTGACATGTAAAATTAAACTAATGCTTTGCTGAAAGTTACTTGTTACTCACAGAGCACCTTAGTTCTTCTTTTTCCTTTAGAATAGAGAGAATACAAAAGACATACCATGTATGCTTGTGTTGTTTCTATCCACACTGTATTTGGAGCTGTTCATCAGGGAGTTCAGCAGAGCCGTGGACACATCACTAACGTCTTGGCTTTGAATGGGGGTGAAGATGAGGGTGAAGTTGACCACCACACTGCCCAGTGAAAAGCTTCTGATCTCGATTCTCACCTGGCCTGAATCCACCATGGCCTTCATCTCTGGAGACAGAGACTGGTAGATCTGTTGATGACAAAAAAGAGAATCACTCAGAGTTATGATGCATTTTTAAAGCTCACATTCTGTCGGTGGATAATCCTTGCAACAGACCTACCTCCTCTATAATACTCGCACTGAGGTTTTGGTAGGCCTGACTGCTGGTGTTCTGCAGGTCAGCAGTGAAAGGGATGTTGGTAAGTCGAGCTGTGACGTCAAGAGTCTGAGCATCTACAAAGAAAAGACTTACTTGGTACAATAAACACATTTTCCACAACTAAATGTCAGCCTTCTCACCAGCCTCGGGCCTACTAGTTAAAGAATGTGTTTTCTTCATCACGCATTAGACATTAAGGACAAATTTTATCACTTTACTCATTACTCCCTTGGGGTAGGAAAAAGTTATTTAAAAAAGAAAAAAATCTGCTTTGTCACATCTCCTTTGCGTGAGGGAAAATCATCATTTTTTTGTGATTTGATTTTGCACTCAGTATTAGGGGTTGAAAAAGGAAAAAAAAACAGCAGCAAAAAAAGGAACATCAGTTCTAGCATCCCTCTACAGTGTTAGACATGGATTCTTTTAACGCAACTTACAAACATGCTGCTCTCATTTATCCATTTACATCACAGCATTCATCAGCTGCGTGACAAAGGGTTTTTATTTAACCCTCCAATACTAGAGCCCCACCCCACCCACTTCCCCTGGGCGGCACCTGGGTGAAACAATCCAAAAATAAACAAACAAAATAAATAGATAGGAAAATCATCATTTTGCTAAAACACAGAGTGGGAATATTTCCACGGGGGGGGGAATTGCCTATTTTGCAACTTATCTCAAATTTATCTAAAATGTCCCATCTGATGTTGAAGCAATAGCCATAACTTAATAGTTTATCTCCTTTATCACTACCTGTAATATTATCATTAAAATTTGTTGGCCATGACACAACTTATTAAGGATAAGAGTAACAATGTATTATTAGTTGGGAACTCTCATCACAGAGCTGTCCTATGCACAGTTGAAGCTTGACGACACTTAAATATGGTATGTATATATATGATATATGATTTTTTTTGAAGATCCAAAACTAAAAGCTACTGGAGCATTCGGTTCTTACCGGTCCTGACTGATATACGCAGGGGGACTCCTTGGTTTCCGCAGGCACAAGGCGTGACAGTGACATTGTACAGCACCCCAGGCTGCAGTCCCCTCACCTCCATCATGGTCTGACTGGTTTCCCAAAACTGAATGTCCTCTGACCCCTTGCTTATAGCAACCTGATAGGTCTGGTTTGACTGAAACTGGCTGGACCAGTACACACAGAAGGAGGTTCCAGTGATGTTAGATGATGTTAAGGTGGTGATGCTGGGAGGAGCTGAGAGGTTGTGGTGGGTAGGAGGAAAAAGACAGGGACAGGTTTATCATTGGTTCATGGTGATTAAAGGAACAGTTTACACATTTACTGAGAAAGTTCCATGAAAAGAATGATACCACTCCCAAGTCAATATGGTAAATATAAGGCTATAGTTAGCAGCCACTTAGCTTAGCACAATGACCGGAATTGTAACTTTCCAAAAGTTACAAAATCCACCTTCCAGGATCTTTAAAGGACCAGTGTGGAGGTTTAAGGGGGATCTATTGGCAGATATGGAATATAATATTCATCTTTTCATTAGTGTATCATCACCTGAAATTAAGCTGAAATTAAGAATCACTGTGTTCTCATTAGCTTAGAATGAGCCCTTCATATCTACAGAGAGAGCGCCTCCTCTACCATGGAGCACGTCATGTTGCTCCACCATGTGTCTACAGAAGCCCAGAATGGACAAACCAAACACTGGTTATAGAGAGGCCACCGCAGGTTCTCCTTCACGCCTGGAAAGGAGGGTGGGGGGGGCATCCTACAACCTCACCACTAGATGCCATTAAATCCTACACGCTGGTACTTTAAAGCTAAAAATTAACTTGTTATATCCTGTTAAATAAATATGTTTTCTGAATCTGCAGCACCTTTGTGCCTTTGCGTGTGTTTTCTTATGCTGCAGTGTGTTGAGTTCTCAGGACCACCATTCAAAACTGAAACTGTGGCAACAGGTTCACCACCAGAAACGGAGGAAAAAGGCTAAATCTGAAAGATGAAGTGGTTCAAGTGACGATTCTGATGACACACAGTCAAAAATTAAAGTAGTGTCAAGAAATAGCACAGAACAAAATAATGAAGGTAAAGAAATCACTGAGTTAGTCCCGTGGATCCAGTTGAAGTCACAAAGGCAATTCAGAAGGAGATTGGGAAAGTTAAGTTTGCTAATTACTTGAACAGCAGAAGAAACTCATATTTGCAAAGGATTGAGAATGACAGAGAAAGATTTTGAACAAGAAAATGATTAATGGAGAAAAAGTCAAGCTACCCATTCCAGGTCTATATGTACCAATGAGGGCAGTAATATCTGGTGTTCCTCTGTCGATGTCCATTGAAGACGTTTGTGTCAGAACTTAGAGAGAAAGAGGTTAAAGCTGCTGCAGCTAAAAGGTACGTTAGTAAGAAGGAGGGTGAGGAAACCTTATTTCATTTTGAGAACATCTTACTGAAGAAACTCTTGCTGGGTCTATGTTCAGTTATTCAGTGAGAGAATATTTTCTGCCACTACTTAGATGTTTCAAGTGTGAGCATACGATTCATACAGCAGAACAATGCAGAGTAAAGGACAGGTGCTCATGCTGCAGAGAGAATCGTCAGATAGAAAATGTAGTGGAAATGGCATAATGAAGTGCTGCAGCTGTGGAGAAAGAAGTGCTGCTTTTCCAGGATGCGAGAGAACTACAAAGATACGAGATTATGACTCAGGAAAACAGAAAAACCAAAGAAGAGCCCCAGTCAAATAAATACATGTGCAGTTATTAAAATACGTAGCAGGTGAGAATAGTAACAGCTTTGGAGGAATGGTATTGGTAGGAAAGAAAAAAAATATGTTGGAATTAAATGATTTTCTGCATCAATTGATGATAAAACGTGATCTGATCTTCATCTAAATCACAAGTGTAGACAAACAATGTGCTTAAGCTAATAACACACAAACACGTTGGTCACATAACTGGGGTTTCAAGGCTTCATTTTCTAAATCATGTTATATGTTGTTTACAGACCTTTAGAGACAGTGCCAGGATTCAAATATTTAAGGTTATGTTTGATGAAAAGAACACACGGTATTCTCATGGTAAGAAGCTTTAAATCTCTATGAGGAATACATGTGGATATGAATGGGGGCTGATAACCAATAGCATTTTTATACAGAGATCCTCCTGTATTAAGCCGCCTTTGCTTGTTTACACTGAACCAAACAAGCCGGCACAATCCCGCCCCCGTGTGTGGCATGCCGGCATTCAGGAATCAGAGGCGCGATGTGTAACACAACACTGTTGGCACATTACCCAGCATGCCAGCTTTACCTTTCACACAGATGTCGATCCAGCCCTGTGAATACCTCCGCTGCTGGCATAAGGTGGAACAACAATGCAACAATGACCCCAAATTCCAATCCCCCTTTTATAAAGAACGGCGAGGCGGAATAAAGGCGCAACATTCCTGCCCTGAACTGGGTGTATCAATGGAGCTTATCACAAAGACAATCCTATGGATTTTTGACAATATATACACATGGTTGAAAGAATCCAGATGATGTGCCTGTGGGAACTGGTCCATAGAAACCTGAATTTAATGTTAAAGTTCCTTTCCTGGCCTTGATTAGACCCATAAAAACTCATCTCTCTTCTTCAAAATTACATGTTTAGATTTTTTTTTTTCCCCATGAAAAAAATCCCTTCATGGTCTTAAAATGGGCTGGACGTAACTCTACACCTTCGCCTGATTTAGTATTTGTGGCTCTACGAATATGTAAATTAGCCTTGCCACTATCTGCACCCGTTCTTCAGCCACTCACCTGCAGCTCTTACTCTGTTCATCAAACATACAAACACAATGCTAGTTTTCTACTTTGCTAGTTACTGTAGGCTACACAATGACAAGTGGTAATATAGGAGTAATTCACCCATACATGTTCAAACCGGGAACTGAAGACGAAGAAGAGCTCATTGCACAGGGTCACCTGTAGCAGAATGGTAATGTATTTTATGTAACGTTAGAAATGTGCCAGAAGCCTTATAGATAACATGAGCCTTGAACTATGTTATCAAACAGCTAATAATGTGGTGGTAATGTTAGATAAACCTTGGTCCAATCACCAGCTCTGACTTAGCTAACGCAGCTAGCTTGCAAAATACCACTAATTAGTGGTTTCCCCTCTGATACCCCTTGTTTTGCTGTAGCAGAATGGGTATCAGGGGTAGGCCTATGCTATGGCGATATGATATGGAAAGCCCATCCCCACAAGCTGACAGGTTTGGTTCATTAGGTTTGTGACGTATGAAACCCTGGCTGTCTGAAAATGTTTTTATGAGACTGTTCACTGCAATTCAAGGTGGAAATACTCAGTCATGGCATTGACTGCGTGTTTCGCTCATATGGTGTGTATTATATAAAAAACACCGTATGGATGTTAACAAGGTTAAAAAGGTTTCATTTCAGACTGACTGACAAATCGAAAAATGATAACTTATGCTTTTTAGTTAATGAAAAATGGGTATAGAAGTGCAGTTCTGTTGAGTCCCTGCTCATATGGGTGATAAAGGTAATGAACAATCAGATACATTGGCAAAGAAGGCTCTGAACGTATGTGACAACAAACTGATAAAAGGAGCCATAATTAACGCCTGGCTGAAGGAATAGGATACAGACATTAAAGGGAGACATTATATTACACAGAAGGTAGGTTGTGTTAAACAGTTTAAAGGAGGATATTGGAACCTCAGAGAGCAGGTAATCATGGTGAGATTAAGGCCTTAGATATGTAGGTTTTCAATCCATTATATATATATAATGGTTATAACATAATAAACAAATCTGTGTCAGTGGTGGATGGAAGATTTATACAACAGTTAGTTCCAAGTACAACAGGACTGGGACTTTAACTATAGGTGTTCTATTCACCGTTAATTAATGGTCGTTATCTAGCTTAGATTGTAACAAACTTTGCAAAGATTTAAATATTTCCAGAAATAACATTTGAATTAAATTATGTATGGCTGTGCACACCTCCAGGTGAGCTCATATGACGTCAGCCGACCTCAACAAATTAGAGAAAAGCAAAAATGAAGCAGGCCTGAGGTAATGTGTAGACAAGGTAGCAAGCTAGTGAGCAGGCTACAGGTCAGGCAAATGTTTATGTGTTGCTTAGCAACAGTCCAGTACCTGTCCAATTGCCGAACTATTTGTGTTGGCGTAGCCAAATAAATGATGAAATAAACAAACAAATCATAATCTGTTATTTCTTATTACTGTTATCTAATATGGCGCTCGTAGAACTGTTGTATAAAAGCATCACACCATCACCGTCTATGTCTGAATCACAGCCCTGCTGATATTCAGTACATCACTCCCTTGTGTGATATTGCTTAAGTATAACACATTACCATGCATTGTAATTCAGAGAAGAAGAACAACAACAAGGAAGAGGAGGAGAAGAAGAAGAAAGGGAGAGGAGGAGAGGAAGGGCAAGCAACACAAAAGTGAGATTTATACTTTATCACTTGTGTTTTCAAACAGTGTTTTTTTGGTTTTACAAGAGAAAAGAATTGAAAGATAAAGACCAAAGTTGGTTTGGAAAATGTGTGTTTTGTTGACTGTGGGACAGATTTCCACATATGTATGCAGATTAGCATATTCACCAACATGACACCACACTTCCTACTTACGCAGCCTTGAGGTAGAAATGAAAGGTTTCTTACAGCATGTGGTTGTCGGCAGAGGTAACTCCACAGTTGAGCTCATGCTGGCAGATGGAGCAGACGTTGTCCACGGCAGAGCATGTGATGAATTATAAAGGACAGAGCTGGTGTTACTCAGAGCTGTGGTCATGCTGATCTCAGAGGAGTTGAAGACACCAGTGGTGCTGATGTCTGGAGGGTCCTGTGTGGTGTTGGAAGTTTGGGTGTAAGTTGTGTTCATGGGTGGCAGGTAGGTCACGGGGGTCTCTGTGGTGGTCCACAACCTGACATCAGCTAGGAAGAAAGGACAGAGAACAATGTTGAAATCAAGTTAAGCTTTAGCGCCTCTGTGTGTAAAAATATGCGAAATCTGCCTCGAGGTGAAGTTTTCTTGTTCACACAGTCGTCAGTGAAGGTGATTAACCTTCACCCAGCTTCACCTTTTAGCAAGACTGAGAAGCTAAGGACCTTTTGCTATGATGTGATCCTGATAAGACGGTGAAGGCTAAACCCACGCAAACTTATTCCAGCTCACTCTTTGGTTCTCTATCTTCAGCTCTGATCTTGCTCTGCACACAATTGTGAAAAACTCTTTGATGAAGTGTCTCCTGCTTGTAGTCTTTGTCAGAAAAGGAGTTTCCTGTATTCGATGTGGGAAAGCCTATCACGGTATTTCTGGGAGCAGATTAGCAACATCTTCTCCTAATATGACTGGATCTCTTTTACCTTGTTCCCTCCATGTCATGTTATTAAATGATGACTCTAACTTGAAGTCTCAGATAAAAGTAAGGCAGGATGCAATATCCAGATTCTGTATCAGTGGTGCTGTGTATATACACATGTGGATATACAATTATAAGCACAATATCTGTGGCATGGATCGATGGGCTGGGGGGCCACTGTCGGAAATTCAATGGTTCGATTCCCGCCATCGAAGTTTCCTTGGGCAAGATACTGAAACCTGAATTGCCCCCGATGTATTATCTGTGTGTGAGTGTGTGTGTGTGATAGAAAAGCGAATGTGGCTTGTAGTGTAAAGTGCTTTGAGTGGACGCTAAGACTATAAAAGCGCTATATTTGTGCAGTCCGTTTATCATGTTATGAATTCTTAAACGATGATGTACCTCACAGAATGTGATGGAACTCAATCATTTATCCACACACACACACACACACACACACACACACAGTTTCACCTGTACAATGGGCTCCAGGGTTGCTAGGATCAACATCAATATATCCTTGGCGGCAGGTACACTGATAGGAGCCCACCGTGTTGTCGCAGTCTGCATGAGGGGAGCACTGATAGAGAGCAGACTCCTCACACTCATCTACATCTGCAGTTAGAGATACAGACATATGAAGAGGTTTGAATTGGAATTACAATAACATGTACAGTTCAGACCGTAAAGTTTGCAGCGTTTGTTCTTCGGGCTCTGAGCTTCAGCACATTCAATGTGATAAAATCATGGATACTACATTAAAGAACCAAGTCTCAGCAATATAGATAGAACTGTGTGGGAGATAGTTTAGGGATTCAAAAGTAACTGGGCAGATACACACAAAGTCAAATAAAACCATCATATTTAATATTTTGTGTAAAATCCTTTGCAGTGAATTACTGAGGTCCTGTCTCTGTCTTAGTCTGGTCTGGTCTTTAGCAGGTGGACTGCAGCTTAATCAGACTGAGATCAGATGACTGACTCAGCTCAAGCTCATTTGGCTGAATCTGAGCACAGAACGCTCCCGTGAACCTCTGTATTCATCCTGTTGCTTTCATCAGCAGTGAAATCATCAATAAATGTCAGTGTGTCAGTTCCACTGGAGCCATGTTTGACAGATGAGGTGGTGGATTTGGGTCATTAACTGTCTCCACACTTTTCTCTTTCCATCATTTTGATAGAGGTTGATTTCTTTTTTTTTTCTTTTTTTTGTGAACTGCAGGCTGGTCTTTCTGTCTTTGAGTCTTAGCAGGGTGTCTGCACCTTGCGCTGAATCCTCCGAGGTTTTGGTCATGGAGTCTTCTCTTGATTGTTGACAAGGAAACATTACTATTTTCTTCACAATGCAACTGATTTTCTGGTCAACCATAAAGCCTGTGCCCCTCTGTGTACCAGCTCGTTTGCCATTTTCCCGTTTTTCACCCATGCTCACCTGCTTTTTAGAAAGTACCCAACTGTTGACCTCAATCTAAATGGCAACTCTCCACTCTCAGTCAGCTCTGAACCACATGAGCTCGTCTGTGCATGAACCAAGGTTGAAATGACACAAAGCTGCCCAAGAAATATTTTCTATCCACGGGTCCAATTACATCTGAACCGATACACTTTGGGCACTATGCTTTAAAGGGGGTAAATCTCCCACACAGTTCTTTCAGTATTGATGTGAACCTACTCTGATTAAAGGTGAGACTTGGCACTTTCTTGTAATATGTAATATTGTGCTGAAACTCAGAGCCTGAGGAACCAAAAGGGAAACATGTAACTGTCCAAATACCTGTGGTCTGGACTGTATTTTGTTGAATTAGGGTTGTGTTTCTATAAGGAGTAATATTTTACAAGACCTAATGTGAAAAATTGAAAGTAACATGTATGTTTGTTAAAATAGACAATACCCCTAAAACATAATCTATAGGGAAAGACATTTAGATGATGAATTTAGTGACACACTAATCTACTGTAAAGGTTTCAGTTAAAAATACTTCAAACACAATCAATGCATGAACCGAACTTGACTCACTTGTCTTCTTTGTATCTTACGTGTAAAGGCTATGTAATTCAGAGGTGTCGAAAAAAAATCAAAGCACATTATCTTAATTGTAGAGAAGGAAATTAATTATCTGTGAGAGAACATTTTGAAGGCAAATTGATGTATGTTTGAACGAGTGAAGTTAATGTGACTTTTGTGCAAATGTAACAAGTATGAGTGGTTCATGATTAATATCTGCATGTGTGTGTGTGTGTGTGTGTGTGTGCACTCGCTCTGGTGTTATTTTCCGCTTTTGCAGGAAACATCCCACATATGACTGTCACTCAAATAGAAGTGGTGGGAGAAGGAAACTGTGGTGCGACTGAGTAATTCTTTCCTGAACACTGTGTTCTTTGCAGAATGAATCATCCTCAAAACTCTACAAGAATGTCATTTCTCTGAAAAAAAAAAAAAAAAAAAAAAAAAGCCCCAATAGCTTCACAGAGACAGATAATTGTGTCTCCTCACCTTCCACAGTTACAGATGACACCTCCTCTATGTTTTTGAGAAGAAGATGCAGCTTTGATGTGACATTGTACAGTGACAGAGTAACGTTGCAGTCGATCAGCAGTGAGGTAGCAGTTCTGTATGGATGCACAGGCCACGAGCTGAGGTAATACACTGAAACTTCATCAGACTGCAAAGCTCCTGTCACCTATTTGTGATACAGACACAAAAAATAATTAGTGTGAATTTAGTGAATTTAGTGAAAAGTTAGCCTAACTCCAGATGAGGCCTTGGTATTTCTTCTGTATTTTAATTTTCCAATAAACAGCATTATCAGAGTTCAGTATCACGACATTAATAGTGACAATAATTGGCCAATGGCCTTAGTGTAGTCGCTTTATATACAGTAGCAGCAGAAGTCTTAATTGCAGTAGTAGTATTAACATTAGTATTAGTAGTAACCATTGCTTGTAGTAATCGTGTGTGATTCAGAAGTCCTTTATCCTTCAGCTTCAGCTGCTGGTAATCTGTCTTCACTGTCACTGTTGCGTTCAAACGGGATCCTCCATTCTCAGAGTAATTAGTTGAGTCTGAAAGTTAAATTAAAAGGGTCAATTCATCCAAATCACAAAGAAAACACTTTAACCTTGTGGTTTCTGGGGCTGTATGAAAAACCAAACCTTAAAAATTTGGACCCTCTCCATGACTTGGAAAAAAACTGCAACAACCTGCCCCCTCATAAAATATAATGAACTTGGTACAACTCATTTGATCATAAAAACTTAATATGCATGAAGAATTTAAGAAAATATCCACCAAATTTCACATTTGAAATTAGACAGACAGAATAGTGCAGATAAACTTCAAAAGATCATCCCTGCTCTTCCAAGAAACACTACTACACTCTTCAGCAAAAAGAAAAAACATGTAACCCATTCCCCCACCTAGTGTGTAGTAATGTGTGGATTTATTTGTAGTGAAAAATTAATAAAGTAACAGTAGAGGTACTAATATTAAAAAAAAACAAAAAAACAAGAGAATGTATTCTAATCAGTTTTCACATACCTTTGTTCAATTCAATACACTCAGCCATACCTGGACTGATATGACCAGCAGCTTATAGTGGCTTATGTGTAACCAATATTACTAAGTCACACTTTAGGTCATCAACTTTATAACTCCTCACTACTTGCACTATTGTTATACTACATTCTAACTTGAGCTATTATGCTGTAAATGTCATTTTAGTTACAGTTGCAGAGCAAAACTTAAAAAGGCTCACGTTAACAAACATGATTTTTTAATATTTGGGTGAAAGGACCCTTTAATAAGAGCACGTGACTTTACTTAAGAAACCATATTAGCAGTTAAATAAGAAATAAAAACAACTTAGGATGTATACTAACTTGCAGGATGACTGCAGAAACAGCGACCCAATCTCTGGCAGCATTTTTGCCAGCCTGGGCAGTCCATGTCCCACTCACAGTCTTCAGATCCGGGATACAGTCCATCTGCAGTTGGACAGGAGCCTGGTTTGGCAATGAACTCCCCACTCCTGTTTACAGCTTCATTCAAAGGAAATAACATGTTACAGGCCATATATTAGCAGCAAGACATTTGTAGCAGTGCATTTTCTGCGCTTCCATCTGGTGTCTTGCACACAGCACCACACACTTAAAGGTCATGCTGATTGCATCTGGGCTGTCTGTCTACTGCGCACAGTGCTGATGTTATATCATCAAATATTTCTTACACAAAGAAAATTCAAATCCAAGAGCAAACAGAACAATTTCTGCTCTTCTATCATCTTCAAACCTAGAAATAAATGATGTGCAGTACACTCACACAGGGCACAGTAACGACCGACTTGTGCGTAGCCATCGCAGCACTTGGTAACTTGCTCCATCGCCGTCTTGTACTCAGTCTGATAGATCATTCGGTAAAGTGTGACTGTACATGTCTTCCAGAGAAGCCAGCCGCCACAAGGCTTTGTCGCTGTGTAGGGGACCTTATGCATCGCCAGGAAACTCACCATCCTCGTCTCATTGTGAATACATAGATGGTAGCCGGATAAAGACAGACCATTTCCTGGAGTAAAATGTATTTTGTCAATTTTGTTGTTGAATAATAATCCTTGGTAGTTAGTATATGGCTGCATAATGACATCAGAGTTTACATTTTGAGTTTGTCACTATCAATCCTCCTTGATTTTGATTTGCTCATAAAGTATAAAACATCGATCATTTGTGACATTCAAATGTTAAAAACAAACTGTAGGTAAAACTAGAAAATAAAAATTCTCATAAACACCATATTCTGTTGTGGTAACACATCAATTACATGTTAATGCGTCATCTGCATAGAGGCCTACCTTCGTACACAGTGTTTTGTCCCCTACAGAGAGCCAGCAGAGCCGCAGCCACCCAGATGGAGAGCATCCAACTCATTTTTCACAGATCAGAATATCAACCCTATATTTAACGACCACATTGGACGTGCATGTTTCTCTTTGAGATGATACTAACTCACTGTTCAGGGTGGATTCAGAGACCAATTCCTCTGTGGCTCTGTCTTTCTCCTCCCCTCGCTGCACCATCAGTCCCTGATGGAACACAAAATCATGGCAGCCAGCGGGTGAGTATTAGATGAATATGATTATTTGGAGTTACATTGTCAGTGCACTAACATTACATTAATTTTTGCAAGTATATTAGAATATTCAAACAATTTGATTTCTTGCATGTATGGCATCATGACAATCTGTATACGACAGAGAGAAAAACCTTTGGTTCACATGATTTTCACAAAGGACTACCAGGCCTTGTTTTTATTTTTGTAGAATAAATAAGTTGTCATTACATTCATTCTTTTGCAGTATTAGTATTAGTAAACATGTTTATGATGCCTGAGAGAGAGAGAGAGAGGGATGAGGGATGGGAGGAGTTAAAGTCCCTAATGACTTGGTTTCCACACAGGTAACCATGGTAGTGCTTGCTATGCTGGCGGCATTAACAGTCTGTGTCAGCCATTAATGTCAAGTAAGGAGGAGTGAGAATTTCCCTGCCATTTTCCCACATGTCTTCATTCTCAGATAGGAGGGAGCAGTGGGATGCTTTGGCTGTCAAAGATATGTTCTAAAAAAAGATTGCGTCAAGATTCTACCATCACTTTGACATAAATGTGAATATGTATTCCCATTTGATGAGAGAAAATTCTACAGGTCCTCTGCATCCTTTTCAATCATGTCATGCATATATTTTATCCTTAGTAAATGTAGTGATTAATATAATGGTTCTCCAATGATGTGTAAACATGTGCCTGATTAAACTTCCTTCTGTCATTAAGCGATAATGATTGGGTACGTGCTGATGCGCTGGAGCATGTGGCTGTAGGGAGGTGCAGGGGTTCAGCTAAGGTCATTACACATTAAATAGTTACATCAAATAAAAAAAATTTAAAAATAAATAGAAACATCACTTCAATAGGATGTGGTTTAATGAAAATAATGATCTTCAGGAGTGTTGCATTCAGTCTTTACACCACCAGTGCCACACCTGATTGAGTCATAAGACTGTTGCCAGGTACTGAAGCTGACAAGGCTTTCCTGGAAGAGGCCTGTAGGCCAAATAAACATGGCAACAATTCCCCACTGGATGCCAGTAATGACACAAATCTACTGCCATTCTATATTGACTCCCATTCAGTCACAGACCTAATTAGTTTCTTTGGGGTTAGGGGGGCGCGTAGTTTCATGCATAGTATGTAGCACCTCACAGACATACCAAAGACAGTATAGGTAAGGTATGTACACAATCACAGTAAAAATTTGTATTTTATATACATTTTAGATTTTTTTTAACATAAAACTAAAATACATTTTTTTAAAAAGTCCTCAAAGCACAGGACTCTCTCTCTATAGATATTTGCTTATCAGTGAAGTCATCACTAAAGTCTCCACCCTTGTGGTTTACAGTTTACAGGCAGTTTACAGTAACACATGACTTCATGTCAAGCAGAATAGAGTTGCTAACCTACAATACTTAATTTAACCAGTTACCTACAAATAATTAGAGAACAATGCTCAAGTACAAAGTCAATTACAGTATTGAGGAAACTTTATATAATTATAACAATAAACTTCCCTTGGCCGTCATTTAAAAAAAACAAAAACAGGATACTGACAGCTTAAACGAAAAATATGACCTATCTCTTTAAATTAGCCTCAGTGTCAAGTCTTCCGTTTGCCCCGCCTCCTGCTCTTTGACCAGCCTATCGCAGCGCAGTGCACGTGACGAGCGTTCCTTGCAATGACCTCATCCCTGGTGTGGGATGACGTCAAATTCAAGATGGATGGAATCACGACCATAGGCTGTATGATCACGACGAGCGCGCAGAAATCTACACAACACTGAATAAAGTCCCGTCTGCGCGGAGGAAAGACCATATTCACGACGTGCAGGGTAAGTGTAGACAAGACTACCAAACTTAACGTTAAACAAAATGAGCAGGGAGGGCGAAACATAGTTGGTGGAGTGCTGTTACGGAGAAGCTTTTTCCTTTTCCTCCCTGACGTAACTCGAAAGGGGGAATTGTGTTGCTGTAAAAACCTGGCCAGCTACAACCTGTTTTGCAGCCAACAACTGCACCGTGTCAGGTCGGCGTGAACCGTTTATGAAAAAAAAGATAAAACAAAAAACCCTCCACTTCCACCGGGGGTAGCGGGTACAATTCACTCCCCCCCTCCCTCCTCACACTCCAACAGCGTCTCTGTCCGCCTGCACCGACTGTGTTTTCATTCCGGGATTACCGTGGTGGAGTCCATTGAAACGCGCTCAACTTTTCCCCTCTTCATTTGTCAAAGCCGTGATAACGTTTAATGGCTGTAACGGAACGGTCCATTGGCCGTTTTTTTCCCCACACAAAAAGAAACTGTTTCCTAAACCGAAAGCGACATTTCGGTTGGAGAAGTTGTCTGTCATGAGAAACTGAGCCACGTCTCATGGATGATCTAATGCTTAAAGCCTCGCTTGACTTCCTCATAAAAAACTGACGCCATTGTATATCCTCTGTTCTCTTAACGTGCACCTCAAGTTTTGATGAAGAGGCCACTGTCTGCTTGTTAGTTTTTGCTGAATGAATGAAGCCTCTGCCAATGAACCTAAAATGGCAAGTGTCAACAAACTTAACATAACTAACGTGCCTTCCGGTCGCAATTTTCAAAATAAACGCAACGTATATTATTTGTGAGAAAATAAGGATAGCAAAGACATATAAATGAGAAAATAACTTTAAGGAAGTGAAGATGTTCATGATTTTAGATAAGGTGATTCCAGTTGAGAAGTATTTTAAGCATTTTGAAGGTTCAAGAATTCTATGACTTATATACAAGAATAATGAAAAAAAAGTGGTGACTTATTACTGGATAATGTAAACACATTCTGTTGACAGTTTATTATGTACACCTAGTTAACGCTAATGTGGTTTCTTTCATAAGCCCAACCCCTGTCCTCTACATGACTATGAACTTGAATTAAAAAAACTGTAAATCAGTGTCAGTACAACTGAACATTATGATCCTCATCAAGACAGGATTTATTGCATGGCTGTGGGATTAGACTGCGTTAATTTTATTCAGGTGTACCTGCAGTGGAGTCCAAAAGTCTGGTCTCAGACTGTATAACTGGCAATTTCGTGCATGTTGTGGCGTAACAGTAATATCCTGAATATCTACTTTACAGCTATACACAAGGAGAGTGTGAATGTGGTTGTCAATGCAGGGTTTCTTCCAGGTAAAGTTTAGGCCAGGCAATAAACAAGCCAGATTCTCTCACACATCCCATCTCACAAATTAGTTTATTTACTAGATATGGCAATTACTGTGTATAAACTTTCTTAATAATATTAGTGGAGGAGGTTTTCATTTCGGGCAAGGTGGTAAACCATGCAAGTGGTGACAGGAGGTCATGGTTTGAGGAGTGACTACACAAACATTCTGTGGTGAAAAGCCTTTAACTTTAAATCCAAACTTTGTAAACTTCCTGCGTTAGCCTGTGTCACTGAGGGCAACTTGACAGACATGCATTTTCATACCTTCTGAATATTTACATGATGTAACACCCATATACTTGTTGTGTATGTGCTTCTGTATTAGTGTGCACCATGTTGTGGTAAATAAAAAGGTTGATCTGACCACTAGTTATCATCATAAACCACAACCAGTAGAAATGAAAGTAGTAGTAGTAGAAACATTATACAATTTACAGTATACAGTTTAATCAGTTTAATGATGACTTTTACAATTGACTTATTGTTTATAATGACAGGTACAATGAAGGTTAGCATTTGTGCACAGTTTATTTTCATTATCAAATCATTTTCTTGATTAATAATTTGGTCTATGAAATGTAAGAAAATACTGAAAAATGGTTCACAATATGAAACCATAGGCAACATCTGCCAACAGCCCACAACCTAAAGATATTCAGTTCTTAATTATATGAAACAGACAAATGCAGAAAATCGTCACTAATGAAAAGCTGCAACGAGATGATCTTTTGCATTTTTGCTTGAAAAAAATACTTCAGTGATTAATGGATTATCAAAATAGTTTATTATTTTTCTGTTCAATGACTAATCGATTAATGAACAAATAGAACACAGTAACTGCACAGTAACATCACTGTGCCTTAAAACTATTATTTCTTTCAACATACACCACACACTTGCTAAGGATGTGTAGGTAACATGTAATGTATAAATTGAAGAAATCATAAATAAATAAATCTTTCAAATACCATGGAATTTGAAGGCTTCTGCCTGCCTCTGTTTACCATCAGGTGGCAGCCATTATAACTTCATGTTTGGTGGGATTAATCATGATAAACAGCTACATCACATACTGATATGATTTAATGGTTATTCACAGGGGTTAGTGTCTCACTGTCTTTGTTGTATCATGAGAAATTGCAAGAACAACAAACACAAACATTCATACATTCATAATAGAGCAATAGGTATTGTATATGAGCTTCAGTCAGCTTTTATTGTGTATGTGAATTTGCCTGTTTATTTCCATATCTATGAAAATTTATGACAAACCAATTTTGTGCACATTTAATAATCACATTTGTATTTACATTCCTGCATTAAAATATAATCCTGTCTCCTTGCCTTTCAGCCATGGAGAGCCTAGTGCATTACAGTAACCCCTCCCATGCTCTCTCAGTGTTGGGGGTTCTCAATGAGCAGCGCCTGCGGGGCCAGATGTGTGATGTAGTCCTGGTTGTGGCGGACCAGAGGTACCAGGCCCATAAAAATGTTCTGGCTGCCAGCAGTGAGTATTTCCAGTCCCTGTTCACGCGGATGGACGCAGAGTCCCTCAAAGTTGTAAACCTGGACTTCTGTGAGGCTGATGCCTTCGAGATAGTTCTGAACTACATTTACTCCTCCTCACTCTTTGTGGACAAAGGCAGCCTGGCAGCCATTCAAGAGTTGGGCTACAGCCTTGGAATCCCTTTCCTCACCAACATTGTGTCAGCACGGCCACATGCATCCTACTGTGTGTCTAGAAAAAGGCTTTCGTTCTCAGAGGGGGATGAGAATGATGTCCAGACAAGGAGTGTCATTGTGTGTCGGGTCCGGAACGACACAACCCATCCCTCTCGCTCAAATTATCAGAGAAAAACATCAGAGACATCATCATCGCCCCACTCTACTCAAGAGTCAGCTCAGCCACCATCAGAACACAACTCACATGAATCAGTCAGGAACTCGGAGTCCACCAGCAGGAAATCATCTGAACTGAGTGAAGCTGCTGAAAGGAAGTCCACCTATCCATACACCTCCATATTAAAAGGGAATTCATCACACATCACATCTGTCAGGCCTCAGCTGACATCGTCAGTGTCTTTCAGTGATGCTGAAATGCAGCACGGCAGGATGCAGTCAGGCACCGACCAGGACACTAAAGAGGAGAATGAGGAGCAGGAGCAGCACTATCACACCAAAGTGCCCTTTCAGGGTCAGGCCAGGGAGCCAAGCCAGACAATTGACAGGAGCGGGCCGCTGATAAAAAGCCTGCTCCGAAGATCATTATCCATGGACAGCCCCGTCCCCGTCTTCTCGCCCACACTGGAGCTCAAGGAGCTGCAAAATCGAGAACAGTCAGTGGTTAAAATGGCATCAAAAGCATCTGGGCCAGAAACATCTGCTCAAAATGGCAATTCAAAAAAAACATCTCCTCTGGTTCTCAGGCCAAAGTACCCCAGCAGGTATGATGAAGAAACTCAGGTAGAAGGGGAGGTCAGTGTGAAAGCTGAGCCGAGCAGTCCACTCGCTGACCCGATGGACATTATTCGAATCACGGTGGGAGATGCTTTGCCGGTCAATCTTAAAGACTTGCAAACAAATTATGAACAAGGTTCCAGGCTAGACTTCAATCCTCTGGGGAAAAGGAGGGACAGGCCAGACAACAGACGGTACCCGTTCAAGAAGAGCAAATTATTTAAAGAACATACCCTCTCATTTGATGAGAACATGTCAGAAACAGTACCTCAGAGTGCCAGCAGTGACTCTAATGAGAACAGTGGGGACCTTTCTCAGAACAAGATTTTCAAATGCTGGAACTGTTTAAAAGTTTTCAGGTCCAGTGCTGGACTACATCGTCATGTAAATATGTATCACAACCCAGAAAAGCCGTATGCTTGCGACATCTGCCACAAGCGCTTCCATACCAACTTCAAAGTGTGGACACACTGCCAAACTCAGCATGGTGTAGTACAAAACCCAGCCTCATCCTCCAGCTCCTCTGTGCTGGATGAGAAATTTCAAAAGAAGTTAATAGATATTGTGCGTGAGAGAGAAATAAAGAAAGCTTTGCTTTGGAAGTTAAAGAGGAATAAGCAGGGATTGCAATCTCCTGTACTTACCAAAAAGAGATCAAGGCCCAGCTTCATATGTCCTTACTGTGGGAAAGTATTTGTGTTCCAGTCTCAGTACAGACAGCATATAAGGACGCATCCTGCTGAAAAAGCTGACCAGGACACAGCAAGTGAGAGCATCCTCTACCAGGAACAGGATGATGAGATCGGTCAACAGAAGAACACAGACACTGGTGTTTACTCCTGCAGACTCTGTAATACGAAGCTGTCATCACTCTTTGAACAGGGCGATCATGAGAGAGGCTGTCGCCATGCAACTGTATGCCCTTACTGTGGCCTCAGATTCTCAAGTCCAACTGTCAAGAGGGACCATGAAGCACATTGTAAGTACAAGAAATTGACATGCTTGGAATGCATGCGGACCTTTAAATCCTCCTTCAGCATATGGCGCCACCAGGTGGAGGTCCACAACCACAACATGATGACAGTTAAAGAGCAGATTCACCTGAAGCAACAAGAGAACAATGAGGAGGCGTCTGAAATGCTCAGAGAGGAGCATTATAGTGATGAACCTCTAGCAACTGTTAGCTCAAGAGAGAACATCAGTTATAGTGACTCCTCAGGTCCACCCATGTATGATTCAGAAGACTCCTCGTCTTATGTGCCTGAGGACCTGAGCATGGGTCACCATGGCAAGCTGGTAGTGAAGGAAGAGCCTTTAGAGGAGGCTGTGAGTGAGAGGGAAAACACAGAGACTGCCAAAACTGGGTCTGAGGAACCTGGTGTGTGGCCATGCGAGAAATGTGGAAATCTTTTCAGCTCTCGCAAAGACCTGGAACGACACCAGGAGCTGCTATGCCACATCAAACCGTTCATCTGTCACATCTGCAACAAAGCCTTCAGGACCAACTTCCGCCTTTGGAGCCACTTCCAGTCCCACATGTCAGCTAACGAACCCGGAGCCAAAGAGATCGACAGACAGCCCTCCCCTCTGTCTCCCTCCCCTCCCATGACTCCCCAAAACTCCGAGCGTCGCTCCCCACAGGCCACCGTGTTCAAATCCACCCAGACGGCCCCAGTCCCAGGAGCAATGGCCGAGGAGTCCAGCAGCCCGGAGCCCTGCAGCTCATCAGTAAGCAAGATGAAGAGGCCCGAAGTGGAACAGCAACCCAGCAGCCACAGCCCTCTGTCAAGGTCAAACAGCATGGAGAATCCAGGTGGCCCTCAGGAATCAGACACACTCTTTTACCACGCACCGTCTCTCTCTGCCCTGACGTTTAAGAGGCAGTACATGTGTAAACTCTGCCACAGGACCTTCAAAACGGCCTTTAGTCTCTGGAGCCACGAGCAGAGTCACAGCCACGTGTAAGCATCACACAAGTTATAGCAGTGCATTTCTCTTCAGAGACAATACTTAATATTAGTATAAACACACCTCAGCCTACACAAGGAAGACTTTGAATGTATAGCTTATTTCCTTGCCTCCAATGTCATATATTATTGTGGCCATGTTCAATAGAGGTGTAAACGTGAATGTGCAATCAAGTGCTAGATTCCTCTCTGAGACGAGATGATTACAAACGGTTTATTTTCCTTTCGAAATGATCTATAACGTTTATCTATTCTAAACTTCTTTTAGTTGTCTACTTGTATTTATCTATCTTGGTGTGAGAAAACAAAGTACAGAGTTTTACCCCTCACATGAAAACAGAGTACAACTATATACTTTGTTTTCTCAATGTGGAAAAGTGCTTTAACTTTTGGAGGCTGCAGTTGAATCAAAGATTAGTGCTTTTGCTTTTGTATCAGATCTGTCTGTTGATGTGAGTGACATCCCTTAAGATTATATTGGTGGCCTCAACAATGTATTCAATATGCACTTTGTTTAACAGTTTGATTGTGTTATAGGGCAGTTTAGTCCAAAATGTTTGCTTGGATCCTTAAGTTTCATGATTGAAGTTTTAGGCTGCAGAAGTAAAGATGATATCTAGGCCTAATAGTATTCATTTTGTCTCTTCATACTTGGCATTCCTTTAAAAAAAAATGAGTATCAGACTGATTAAATAAGACCTTCAGTAAAATAAATGAAGTTCTGTACATCAAACTCACCTCAGACACCTGTTGTTTTAGGCATTGCATCCCTAGTATGCAGCCTTGATTAATTGCTAACACTTTTCATTCAGTGCTTATAATTTTCATACGGGTGACAAATGAAAGGAAAAACCAACATAAAGTGTCTTAGTAAGATGTTTGGCCACTGTGGGACGCCACAACAGCTTCCCTGCTCCTTTGCATTGATTCTCCAAGTCTCTGAACTCCACTGGTGGATGAACACCATTCTTCTTTTATCCCCATCATGTGGTGTTCTGATGGTGGTAGTGAAGAGCACTGGCTAACACATCAGTCCAAATCTCAACATCATTTTCATACTCATCAAACCATCAGTGACCCCTTGTGCCTTGTGGATGGAGGCATTGTTGTCCTGGAAGAGACCACTCCCATTAGGATAGCGGTGTTTCACCAAAGGATAAAGGTGATTACACAGAACAACCTTGTCTTTATTTGCGGTGACCCCTCCCTCTAAGGTGACACCAGCAAAATCCCTGCACAGCATAACAGAGCCACTGTAGGGGTTTAGCATTCGGGCCTGTATGCCACACATGCACTCGCCCCTTGTTGAGGACATGGTGAAGGATGACTCATCTGACCATATCATTTTTTTCCTCATCTCTGTAGACACCACTGAACTCATTCATCTTTGTAATGAATGGTGTATGCACTGCAGCCCTACTATAATATCCCTGTCTATGTAATTGTTGACAGACTGTTGTTGCTGACACAGTCTGATCACGTCCTGCATTGACAGTCTCACCTGAGGAAGAGTTGCTCTTCTGTTCACCATCATCAAATGTGCAACGTTGACCACAATTTCCCACCCTGTTTACTGGCATCTTTCCCTTAGATCTAAACGCAGATGTCACTTTAGTCACTGTTCCTATCGAAACACCAGCCAACTGAGCAGTTTTTGTGACTGAAGGTCCTGTCCCAACACTGAACCCACTTTTAAAGCCAGAATAATCAGAATAAACTGGGCCTTCTCAGCATTTTCATACCTGCCAAAGAGCATGATGGGATGTTAACTACTTAAATGTACCACGCAGTGCCCCTGTGTGGAAGCATCACATTTGTTATGTTTCTCCACTCATTTATTCAGGTTTTTTCCTTTAATTTGTCACCTGTCCCTATCTTCCTAATTATTAACCTGACTCATTTTACAGGTGAGTGAGACGGTGCAATTATCAGTCATAAGATTTGAGAAATTTGAGTTGTGTTTTTTTTCACAGGTAGACAAACATAACGTTTCTAATTGTTGCTGAGGAAAATCATTTGTAAAAGGTGCTCAGACCAGTTTACTTGCAAGAAGTTGGGAAAATACCGGTGAAGATCATAGGCAGGGTTGATTTGATAGTATCCTAAATACTACATAACATCATGCAAGTATTTGGCACATCACATCAGCTGCTAGAATTCATTCTTAAATACAGTAAGTCTACAGTAAGTTTTCTTTTAAAAGCACATTGCAGTATATTAATGCAATGTATGGTTAAACTCAAATAATCAATATGAAAGTCACAATATTAATGTGTATATATTAGACTTGTAATTCCTGATTCACTAAAGTCCACCACCCCAGTGCAGTACCAGTGTTATGTAAATACTCATACACTGATAGATTTGTGCAATTAAACACATGGTAATTAACCAAGCTTTACAGTGCTTTGATGGCCTTATGCAACTTTTGAAATATTTTGTCAATATTATTTTACACGAAAGCACAATACAGTTTCAGACGACTTATGACTCAGGCATTTTGAGGTGGTAAAGTAAAGAAGAAGGAGGCACGAGAAAGCAAATCTTTTATTCTTCGAATGGTGAGAGAATGTTCCTGCTTCCAAAAGATTTATTATTTAAGACTATGTTTTGATTGTATTCCAGTTGTTTCACAGTTGTTATTCTTGTACAGGTGTATACTTCTGCTTTGGCTTGATTGATTAGAAGTTTATCATAAATTATTATGACTGCTACTATTTCGGAGATGTTAAAGTTGAACATTGCTCCACACAGACTATGGGAATTTATTTCCTCCAAATGAGCAACACAAGCTGCATTGTGATGTTAAGTTCATTGGAGAAATTTTGTGTTGATAATAGTGCTCTTAATTTCTTGTGAGAAAAACCTTTTTCAGAGTTTCACAGAAATGATTAGAATTGTGTATATGGAAGTGTTTGTATCCTCGATTTTGTACCAATTTTGTTAGTACACAGAAGTTTTATCTTTCTAGTATTCCTGTGCTCTCACTGCAATAATGAATATTTGTATAAGCATTGGTTGTATTATTGTTGCTTTTGGAGACATGCAGCTGTTTTGTGTTTAGGTTTTCTACAGTTTTTGTGCTTCATTTCTGTAATAAAGAGTAACAATGGAGAATACATATACAATCCTTGGTGGTCATTTGAATTATTTTTAAGTACTAACCACACCTTTGTTCTGAGTAACCAGGCCCCACTGCCAATTTAAATCTTAACTGAACAGGATTTAACCATATTTGCACCATGATCTTGTCTTGTACCCCTAAACTATCTCCTTTAAACTTTGTCACATTTCTATCAGTCAAGGGCTTCTCCATGAAACATTTTGACTCTAAAATGTCAGAAGATAGTGAAAATTATGCACTACAATTTCCCACAGTCCAAGGTGACAACTTCATGTCTTGTTTTGTCCAAACAATTGTTAAAAATCCAAAGATATTTGTTTACTACTGTGTATGACAAGGAAAATGGTGAAATGTTGATGTACTGTATCACAAGAACCAGTGAATGTTTGGCTGTTTTGCTTAAAAAAAAATACTAAAACAATTATTAAATTTCAAGGTAGTTGCTAATTAATTGACTTATCCATTATTTGCAGCTCTAAATCAGATTAGCATTCAGTATTACACACTGAAGCTCTGAATTTACCCTCTATCCTGACACTACTGCTTAATCCATATTAATTTGCTGCATCTTCTGAATGTCATATTTAATCTATACCTATCTTATCTTTCAATGGGCTTTACGGTCTGTACAGCATGACATCCTCTGTCCTTAAACCCTCGAAACATGTCACAACTTTAGCGTACTGTGTCAGTACTTATATACGATATAAGGGGCTTTGCATTTAGTGATACAAAGTAAAAGAACATTTTCTCAATATATTCTCAATTCTGCAAATCCAATCCCTCACCCACTATGAGACATTAGTTGTATAGTTTGCGTTGCACATAAAAGCATTGCATAATTGTTCGTTTACAATCCAGTTGTCAGTTTCATCAATGTGACTTGTCAAGCAAATCAAAGTTTGTTTATTAATATAACAGTGTAACCAAGTACGTGAAAACACACGGACACTTCATCCTGTTGGCAGACAACCCTGAGCCAGCGGGATGTTTTTCAGGCTGCGGGCCACTGTGACAATTTCTGACTGGAAACTCGGGAGAGAACTTAGGAAGTGCTCGCTTTAATTTGGAAAAATGGCAAACTGGAAATCCTGCCCTACCCATGTGTAAGGTCAAACTCTCCATGAAATTGTGTGCGAAGAGGAAGTTTTCACATGGATGAGGAAATCTGTTTCCAAACTCATCCATATCTTTTGAACACACACACACAAAAATCTGATTTTATCTTCTTATATGATCGAGTCTTGTGAGGTAATTACTCCCTGCAGATGTTCTCATTTCAAAGGTGAGGACAGGTTTACAGAGGGTTAGTGTGAAAGATCTGGGACTGTAATTACCATCAGTTACAATGAACAACATTTATTGTCAAAAATTTACAATTTACAGATTTGACATTATCAACATAACATAACATATTTTTTAAAGAAATTAACATGTCTATAGTGTTATTATTCACTACTATGTTAAAGTTGTATTTCTAGTTGGTGGAAAGTAAAGACAATTTGCAAAAACAAATCTTTGAAATGGACGTTACATAATCAAGAATCTTGAGGTACAAGCAATACCACGGCAGAGACGTCAGAAAAGTGAATATACTGACACTGCTTTCATTGTAGCAGTAGAGCTGATTAAGCCATATTTTTGAGCAGAAATAGAGATGTAGATACAGTTAGGGACAAACTCATCCATATCTTTCTTCTCACAGGGCCAGGGTGTCTTTGATCAGCCTTCTCATAGTGGTGCTTACAGAGGTGCCCAGAGAGTCAGTGATCTGGTATGTGATTTTGTAAAGGTATGGCTGGACATCTTTGAGACTGGTGTCAAAAACATTGTCCACTTCAGACTGGGTGGGCATCTTTGGCAAGTATTCGTGGCGATTTATGACCTCAACAACGTTGATCACCTTCTCACCCAGCTTCTCGCCCACTTTCTCCCTGCAGATCTGCCTCTCCTGCTCGTTGGCAAGGTTGACAACATTGACCTTGATGCTCCACACCTCCCAGGGAATACACTCGTCAGAAAAAGGCCAGCGAGACTTCTTCTTCTGGTAGAACTCCAGGGAGATTTGCCCCATGCCATCGCTGCCAGAGTTGCCCAAGGCATCCTGTAACCACAGCATATAATGACACCGCCAGATTACAGGCCTGCCCATGTGTTAGTGAACAACCGCGTGTTAAAAGCATCAATTACCTTGAATTCAGCTACAGCTTTCCTGATCACCCTGTCCAGCTCCTCTGAGGACACCCTGACGAAGGTGAAATCGATGAAGTCGCAGTCGATGTCCAGTGTACCCACTGTACCGATGGAGTATGTGCCCTCCTTTTTATAATGAAACTTCCCAGTGCTGCGGTGCAGTAAAATGGTGTGCAGCAGAGCTAGCATAGCTTCTTCCACCTGCCTCGCCTCCACTGTTACCTCAAGAACTTCCGAGCGACAGTTCATTGTGAAGTGATAGTTATTTCCATTTACAAGCGACGACACGAGTAGGATGATGGTGGCTACTGTATGCAGCTCCGTTACACTTTGTTTACTTCTACGGGTGGGTGGGGCCTATTCCACACAGCGTATTACGCTGTATTAAAATACAAAATAAGTTTTTATAAAGGGAATCCTACCTCCAAATCTTACTTGTGAGCACTGAGCGCAGGAACATTGTAGGAGTAGCCAGCTAGCTACCTGTTTGCTACAAACAGGATAAGGGGATGTGGTAATGATGACAATAATGGCAGAAAATCTACGGCAAGTCGCGTAGTTAAAAATACTCGTGCTGGTTCGTTTTTTCTTCACTTTCGTATCGTAAACACCATTTAATTAATCGGATAAAATACCAAACCTAATTCCCGATTCAAATAAATAATCTAGAGGCCAAATATCAGCCTCAGTTGGTAAGCTCAGTAGGTATGTCTCGGTTCGCAAGACCACCCGACAAAAACAAACTCTCGCATTTGTCGCTGTGCATTCTGGGAGTTACAGTTTGTGCCACATATCCGTTTCCAATCGGCAACTTAGTGCAGTCAGACCGAGTCCAGCGGCAGTGACTGCTCTCTTCGCGTACAGGATGTTTTCGCGGGACTCTTGTTCAATATCTGAATATCGTCTGGTGGAGCTTGACCGCTGTCTTTGGAAATAAGTTATTTTTGGGGGAAACTTTCGCTGCTCCGCACCTAATAAAGAATAGCTAGTTAAGCGAACCGTGGCGAAGATTAGCCAACTAAGCTAACAACCATATTCAATGAGAGAAGGACACAGTGCTACTCTGCAGGTTTATTTGAACCCAGAGACTACCTTTAGCTCTTTGACAATGGTCTAGGTCTCTACAGTGAGCTTTCGTTGTTTTGTACTTCCGTATGGTGTTTAAAAGCTGCTATGGAGTACTGCAACATGGATAACAATAAGCATAATTTGTTTTGGGGGTTGAGATCCGTGCTGTTATCAGTTTCGGGAGATTGCCTTCATTGACTTCGCTGTTCCCTTACCGAAGAAGTACTATGAGGTTGCCAGGAAATATCTCAGAAGAGGTGTGTTAAGCTGTGATCACCGTTTTCATTGGCAAAGAATGTCCGACTTGGAAAGTGCTAGTTCATATTTTGGTTTGGAGGATCCGCTGTGGCTATGCATGGTCACACTGTTTATCGCATCCCTGGTTACTCTGATAGCGTATTTTATACAGTATTTCCAACAAAGGGGAGTAGGAAATAAGCGGAGAGCAGCAGAGGACAATGCGGCGAAGGAGGAAGCTGCCGCTCTGCTGGATTGGGCGCTGTCACTGAATAGCTGGAAAAGTCAATGGAGAGCAGCTTGGTGCAGGGCTCTGAGCGACGAATCAAGGAAGCGTGGGGTAAGTCTCATGACCACCAATCCACCACTCCTCTCTGTGGCAGGTGACTTCAATAAAGAAAGTGCAGTTTGTCATTGGATGTGACCGGGTTCAGATGATCTGGACAAAATTACCCCATCTATGCTCTGATACAGTTAACCTCAGTCACCTCAAATCTCACTCCATCCTTTGACATGAGATACATTTTGACACACTAATGGTTGACATCAGTATTTTCACCATACTCTGGCTAAAAGTGCATCTCCTTAAATCAACACTGGACCATGTTCAGAATAATAAAGCTAGAACATATGTAATGGTGTTGCCCAGATCATCATCATGCATGAATTTGCCCTAGGGGATAAATAAAGTATCTATCTATCTATCTATCTATCTATGCACATTTATCGGCAACAACTCAATTTTTCTGTTCTGTGAGTTGTGCAATAGGTGTTTGCTCTTCTTTAATGTTTCTGTCTTATTCCTTCCTTATCAGGGAGCTGTTCTGTTGACATTTGAAGAGGATGATCTTGAGGCATCAGAGCTCATGGTCAGCCATGTGTCTAACTTTCAGAAGTCTGCCAGGAACCAGGTACATTTAGTCATAAAGTCAGTTTGTCATAAATGCAGTTGAAGGGCTTTTGCTTCACAGCAGAATGCCTCTATGCTTCATATTTATGGGTGTTTTGTGTTGTGATGTGATGTTTTGTGAGATATGTGGATCAATTGTGCTCTCGTTGAGTGTGTATGTTGTGTTCTCCTCTCTGAAAAATAATAGTTTCTGTTCCATGCCAGCTTCACCATTCATCTGGATTATAGCAGCAGACATGTTATAGATTTTTTAGTTCCTTATTTATGTAGTTTATTGACAAAGGCTGTCCCTCGAACCAATCTCCTCTTCCCTAATTCATTTCAGAGGGAGCTACTGCATGACCAGTGCCGCATTGTAGCCTGCATTAGACAAGCATGAACTCATCAACTTTAGTACAGACGTTTCCCCCCAGTAATGTATAATTTGCAAATGAATCTACTTAGCGTTTCTTTTTTGGCGTCCACATGCTCATTGCACTAATGAAGACACTATGAATGAATACTTGTGCTTGAAAAGAGGTACAAAATGCTTGCATGACGTTCTTATAGTAGTCATGCAGATTATGTGCGAACCTGCTGCAGAATATGTGTTAAGCAAACTGCCACTGTCCAACAGGCTTTCATTTTTTAGAGAGGTCAGATAGGGACAAATTGCTCACTGTGTTACTGGCCCGGTGGGCTCTGCTGAGCTCCCAATGCAAACTCAGCTCTTTCTTTGTGGTGATCGTGATATGGACCAAAATACCAGGTGTTCTGCTTGTGAATGTGGAGAGTTTAATGAACAGAGGCTTATTTTTACCCCCATACTCTGTGTGTGTGTGTGTGTGTGTGTGTGTGTACGTGTGTGTACGTGTGTGTACGTGTGTACGTGAGCGCTTTAAGAAGCTTATATATCTGTCAAGCTCAGCACTAAGGAGCAGGCAGACAGGAATGCATCAGCACCTATGTTTATGCTTCGGTTTCCCCTTTCAGTGATTTATTACCAAACTGGACGAACACATTCACTCCACTCTGAAATCAGAATGAAAGCAATGAATAAATGTTTTTCAAGTAAAGGGACACTTTACCATTGTGTTGTAATTTACTCTGTTAAAGTTGCGTTCGACCACAGTAAAGGTGATCTGTTGTACCCACATGATTGAATCTGTTGATTATACCTTTTGAAGCTGGTGCAGATGTTCTCCTGCTTTTCACAGTGAAGTGTGAACTTCTGAGGCAAATATTTTGTTTTTGGATCTGTTTCAGCTAAAGTCAGTGTTGTAAACAGTGTGTTGTAAACAGTGTGTTGTAAAAACTGACTTTTGCTCACACTGGTTTTATTTTAGTCTGTTTGTGTCATGTTTGTTGTGTAAGAATCTTCACAGACAGTAACATACATTTAGAATCAGTGAAACTTTACAACATCTTTCACTCATGCATTGACACAGAGCATTTAGCAGATTAGTACAAATTCTTTCCCTTCCTATTTGAGTTTTCATATTACATCAGTCTAATGGTCTTACACTCTCAATTGATTTACATTACACTAATGTCTCACTTTGTCTTCTCAACAGGCCACTTGCTGCAGTGTGGTTGGGGAGAAGCTCCAGTTCTCTCTCAGTGCCACATCGACAGCCATGGCTACAGCAGATCCTTGTAAATACACGGTCTGTATAGCCCCACTGGAGATGCAGGTAAATGCTCTATGGCTGTTCTTAGGGTATCTATTAAAGTCATGAATTTCATGAAAGATTATAATACTGATTTGTTCTTTTGAGAGATACCTCTTTAACGCTGAGTCGTCAAAAGAACAGAGTTACATCCTTTGGCAGTCATTGTGGTTTACTTTAACAGGAGATTTTATTAAACATGATGTCCTGCCCGGCCCTGGCTCTCTGCTGGCAGCAGCATTAGATTAAATGGTTGGGGTATCTTTCTGTGTTTGGCAAATGGCCCGAAGACCTCATTAAAATCACTGTCAGGCCTGTTCCCAGTAAGGCTGGCCCACTTTGTCCACATTCGCATTCGTCAGCAGCCTTTTCAGGACTGATGGTGCTCTGAAATTATGACAAAATGGACTAATGACTACTTGCTCTTATCTGGAAATTACAGTGATTTATTTGATCTGTCATCCTCAAATCTGACCCTTACTCATCTCCTCAGTAAAATATTCCAATTCTCACCCACAGTAACACTCATCCCTCTTTAGACTGGGATGTAGTGTTGAAATGAAGTTGGTGTGTTGGAATATGTAATGGGTAGAGTGCATTAGGCTATGGGAAGCTTTTATCCTGTTCTTAGGTTCAGTGTTAAATCTCCACCAGTGTATAGATACAAGCAGCTATACAAGCTAACCCAATTGTATTAAGGCTATTTTTAAACCAATAAGGTGCTTGTCACCCCTCTTGAGCTCATTGTGCCGTAAATACAACCAGTGTGAGAGGCTACAGAGCTTAAGTCAGGATTAGAGTTGGGGCGTTTTTGTTTTGGTTGTGGATCCGTTGTTGTTGCAGGAACATAAAGGAAGCCTCTTGTCCTTTTTTTTTTCACTCTCACTGTTTCAGCTCAGTCTGGAAAAAGTCAGAAAGCCTTTTCAAATGTCTCCTTCCATCCACTGGAACATTTGTTAGCTTTTGACAGAGATCCAAGCTAGAATGGTCCTGACTGGTAACGTTATGAGTGCGTGGATATGTGGAACAGAAGCTCCGCACATTTACAGTATATTGACACAATAATACACCCAGTAAGCCATGGTGCGCTGCCCAGTGTACTTTGTCCTTTAACACACTACTGCACCACATGGCCTTTTGCATGTGATGAGGGACACACATGTGACATGTGTCATGCTAATGCTCATTGTTGACATGCAAATGCTACATTCACATATATGTTGTATGACTACACTACAGGGAGTCACAGATGGTCTCTTCACCATTTAAATGGCCACATAGTACATTTACGGCAGTACCCTCCTTCTTCATTAACTATTTCTGTTCTTCAGTTCATGTGAATTGAGGGTTTTATTATTATTATGATAAGATAAGCTTCCAGTTTAAGATGCTAGTTTAAACTGATCCAGGTCTTATCAATGCAGGATCTGATATTTTTCTTCTGAAAACATCTAAAAGTTCTTATTACTATCTGATGAGGCCTTAGGCTGGCTGTCGTACACTGGAATCCAGGCATGCTGAGGCATGATGGTCCAGTGTCTTTTCTATCTTCTTCGCTCATCTTCTCCCTCAGATGAGTAAGGGTTTGATGTACACCTCACTGACCTTCTCTAAGAAACCCTCTCTCTCTCTTTGTTAGGTTGGTGTTGACAATCACAGAAGTGTTATTTTATTTATTTATAGTTTTATTATACTGATTTATTACGCAGAACATGATTTCAGAGAGGGAATAAGAAAAGCAAAAAAGAACAATATTTTCATGGTGTCAAAGATCCTAACCACCTATATACTCAAATATCATTAATTACAAATTTTCTCACATCAGACTGTACAAATGAATCAAACCCACAGATTGTGGTTTGGAATAAACAAAAATACACATTCATGTTGTCAAACAAGTGTCTGCAGTTTTGAGTGAGCGTAACATTGAGGTTTGTCAACAAATTACCAATAACTAATCCACTGGGATGAATTCTTTGTAATGTTATGGGAACTGGTGACAATTTAACATCATTTATTTTCAAGTGAGGAAACAAACGTTCACAGGGACCTAACCTAACCCTAAGAAAGCAGCTGCATGAGTTACAGAACTGTGAGCAGCCACAATAAGCATTTAATATAGTTTCCTTACCCTTATTCTGAAAGTCATTACTATTTACTATGAGTGAAACGGATGAGCGTTGTATAATGTTTGATTGTGGCATCATAAGGTATCATAATTTTCTCTTCTGTGTTCCTCAGCTTGATCTACAGATGCAAGAAGGTGAAGATGAGGTCAAAGTTAGCTGGGGAGTGTCTCACCTGGAGACAGGGGAGCTGCAGGTGACGCCCAATTTCACCCAGGTAATTTTTGTGCCACAGATAATGAGATGAACCTGCTGATACACCAAAACAGAGGCAAACGCTCTGACCTGAGGAGAAATGTTTTATTTTACCAAAACAAAAAGAAATTTAGTGTTGAATTTAACTTATTGTGGGTCTGTGATAATCAGTCTTTATAGGAATAAATTTTGTTTTGTTTGTTAAATCATGTAAAGTAGTTTGATAATCAAATATTATTCAAACCAATGTGATTTTTTTTTTTTTGCACATTTTGAAAGTAGTTTCTAAGATGTGAATTGCCAAAAGTAAAACATCTTTCTTTGGCTCAGACCAGTTAAGTAAAAATTCAATTTACCAGTCAAATGAGACAGATATGGATATTGTGGGTTTTTTTCATTTAACACAATAAATATGTTTTAATATGTGTGTAATTTATCTTACACTGTCATCTCTCTCTGTCAGGACAATGCCAACACTTCCAGTGTAGCAGCCATAAAGGAGCAGTTAAAGCAGCTGTTATGTGCGACGCACCCCTCTTTGTTGCTGAGCTGCAGGTCTGCTCAGGCCTCAGAGGTCAAGGTGAGTGGAGGAGTCATACCTGATGTATGATGTCTTAACAGCAGCCACACAAGAAAGCCATGCAGGTGTGTGTGCAAGTCTGTTTTCCAGGTCATTGTTTGCTGTGCACTGCAATCTAACAAACCATATTTTAATCTGTACTTTCTCACAAGGCAACAGATTGATTAGAGTCGCAGTTATGATTCTTCTAAAGGTTTATTATAAGCATGTTAAACCTGCTGAGGTACCGTGTCTCCACACAAGAATAAAAGGATCATAAATTCAGCCAGTTAATGATGGTGACCATATGTCCACCTAAACCTCTGCTCCAAAGTCTAAAGAGTAAATTCACTAGTTTATCATGCTGCTTTTACAAAAACATTTTTACTGATGTGCACTTTGCGCAGCAATCACGTGACTTCATGTCGTGTGTTTCTGATTTGATCATCACACGTTCAACTGTAGTTAGAGTTCTTTGATTAACAACATTGCATAACATATAACACATTTGATTTGTTTTGCATAACAATACTCCTGTAATGTTTAGGAGACTATCGGGCATGATCACCACTCTCACTGAGCTTCAACAACATATTATCTGTGGAAAACTGTTTTTCTTCCTGACTAATTCATCTTGGTGTCTATTAAATGTCCAAGGTGATGGCAAATGTGTATTTTTATTTTCTCTGAAAACCGGCAAATTTCCAATTTGAGAATCTGTAACCAGGAAGTGTTTTATTAAATTGTTAAATTTAGTTATCAGCTAATTGTTACAGCACCAGCTGAGGTAATCCTACCAACTCCTCATGTGGCTTAAAGGTTTAAAATGATCAAGCAGATCAGACCTCAGTGAGGACTGAACTTGTGAGCCCATCACAGTACGAGGTAATCTCAGCCAACAGATTCAACCAGACCATTTTTTTTAAATGGCAAATCAGCCTGTACAAGATTTTTTTTATCATTCAAGGTTAAAAATGTCTTCATCTGATGCAAATCATCCATGTTCATAATGAAAATCTAATGCAAATCCTGGACAAGAGCTCACTCTGTCAGCAGGGTTGTTTTCCATAGATTTCCATGGCTATTGTTATATTGTCTTTTTCACAGTGAATAATATGAAAACACTCCTCATTCAAATTCTTGTGATGTTGAGACAAGCTAGAAGTGATTTTTATTTCCCTATAAATGTCTTTCTGATACTTACAATAAGCACACTGTTGATAGCTTCTGAAAGTAATGATACAGTTCAACCAGCTGAAAAGGTTTTTCCAGTTTAGTTTTCCCAAGGCCTTTGATCATCCTATGATGTGTTTGTTTCAGCACTGTGCAACTTATATATGAAAAAGTTATTCACTTGCTATGGTTTCTCCAATAGGAAGCCCAAAACAAAGCAGCTTCACCCCCAAAACCCCCCCGTGCCCACGACTGGAAGCTGCTGGTGAAAAACATCCGGGTGACGCTCAATCAGGAGGAAGATGCTGCAGGTTGGATGTTTGTCTCCTTCGTAATTTAGAATTACTCAGGTTCTGATGGAGCAGCTGTAGCTCTGTCTGTTCTGGCATGATCTCATCTCAGTCAGCAAACACTGACCTGTAAGACTACAGCTCGGCAACACCACAGAGCCATGAAGAAAGTTCACTGTAAGCAGTTCACTTATTGCTACAGTGAAGTCAAAATACATTGTACTGAAGTCTGTGTCTGTAAGTGTAAAACAAAAAGACACAAGTCTCTGATTTGGTGGTGGCGTCCTTCAGCTTTATTGATTAGGGACTTCAGAAAGTCACTGAGCTAAGGAGCAGTCTGACTCAAAATCCTCATTAAGCCACAACTTGTTTCTTTACACATGGTTTGTTATTGATCCTTCTCATCAACTCCTGAAATGTTGAATGTCTTTAATTATATTGTCAATCCAGGATGTGAAGAAAGTCAACAAGAGAAGCTGCATTTGGTGAATCAACTCAATAGTCTGGGGCTGTTAAAACAAATTCCAGCTCCACCTGTTTCATCAATTCAAGCTCATAATAATCCTGTAATATTAGGACTTTAAAAAGTTTGATCAGTTAATGATTACTATAGTAGCTCATTTAGGGCTGTAGTTCATGACTTTATTGAACTTTAAAATGACTTTGTCTTACCACTCAACATTGATTTCATCATATTTTTCCTCATATCAGTGTTGCCATGTTGTGAACTATTTCAGTCTGGCTTTTGTTTTTTTTGCCAACATAGTCTGTGTGTCCTGTCCCTTCAGAGAGAAGGAGTAGATTCGTGTTTCAGTTGTCATAGGTGGTAATCCACTGGTCACAGCTGATCAATGATGAATCCACCTCAGTGTCACCACACCCAGCGTGTGAATGAGATTCTCCTATGATCAGGGTGAAAACAAAGAACCAGGGTGCTCTCAGCTGTTAAAGTAGATGACAATATGCTTTTAGCTGATAAGAGGTTATTAAAACCATTGTCTAATCTTAGACTGTAACATCATCCACAACAACTTTGTTCTGCTGGTTCTCCTGATGAGTCATTCTCTTAATTGTGAGTCAGTGGTTGTCTGGGTATCTTCTTAAGTATTCTGTGCATCACTGAACACTGTGCAGCAGAGACATGACACAGCATTCAACACTTCACTCTCTGTTTTACTTCCTTCAAGTGAAGAACAGTTATACTTCACTTGTGACACTTCCTGTTTCATACCCTGTCTTCAAAGTTCTTACTGATATTCATTATGAGACGGTGCTTTCACAGTATTGGACCTTGCTGGTAGCTCAAACATCACATTGAAATGGACTTCATCTGCCTTTGCTCATCTTTGTGCGCAGAGGAAGAGCTCCTCTAATGTTTACATAATTCATCGTATAATGTAGGCTGAATTCCCATCTGTCCATTAAAGTGAAGCTATGGAAGTGACCACAGCAACTTTTCATCTTCCTGCAGCAGATTTTATTTCACCAGCTGTCAGTCAGACACTTATCTCTTGGACCACACATTGTGTTTTTTTTTATTTTTTCCTGTGTTGCAAACTGACATGTTTCCCACTGTGTTTGCAGGCAGCATGAATCCTCTGTGTGTCCTGCAGTTAGATGATCCTCCACAAAAGTTTAACACCTCTGTTTTGAAGAACACAACCAATCCTGCCTGGGACCAGCCCTTTATTTTGTAAGTATTACTGTGGAGCACAGCAAACCACCCCTGACTTTGAGATGGTGTTTTTTGTTCTTTATCTACAGTCCATGCATATGTCGTCTCTTTTTTTCTATCTCACCAGTGAATTGAATGGACGATCAAAAGAGCTCAATATTCAGTTGGCAAATGATGGACAAAATCAAGAGAGTAAGAGAAAACCCAGGACATTACTGACTTCATTTTGATGACAAACACTTATTTTGTCCATGAGCTGTGACTGTCACATGCTTTGGTACCACCAGACTGAACGAGGTGTGTTTTGTCTTTGTCAGATTCCTTACTGGGTCAGGTGTCAGTGCCTTTTGATCTCGTAAAGAAGCAGCCCAAAGGACAGCAAACATTTGCACTCATGACCAAAGACGTGGTGACCGGATCACTTACTACTGACGTAAGACCATCATCCCAGCTAACACTGGGCTATTTTCACACGTTTGCCTTTAATATCAACAGATATCCTTTAGTTCTGTTCATGTATCAGAACATTAACGTTGGGGAATTGGATTCCTCAGTTTACCTACCTGGAGCCCAGCGAGGTGAGGTCCTGGCACCCTCCGACCCCAGCCTCCAATAAGAAGGTGGAGATGGACCGTACAGTCATGCCCTGTGGCACGGTGGTCACCACCATCACTGCAGTGAAGAGCAAGCCAGGTCGACCACTCCCACTTGGACTCAACTTAGGTACAGCTCCTGAGTCCTGTGACACTACACCACTGACAACGTTCACAGACATCTGCCCCATTATTGATATATGAAAGAGACGTATAGAGGAAGTGTTGTACTGCCGACGTAAGAACAGCTTCAGCAGTTGAAAATCCAAACAGTTAGTGCAGTGAGCCTGTGAGTGTTTTCATTGACGTGGAGTTCCTGCACCAAAACAATGGTACAGACTGGAATTTCAGTTCTGAGCACCCACTAGATCTGTTGTGGTGTCACTGTAATTGGCAACAGGCCTGTTGTTGTTGTCTGCTGATGTATGATGGTCATTAGTGCCACTGAGCATTGAAAACCTTGTTGGCTCTTTTAAATGCACAGTTACTCAAAGTAATTACAGCTTTTTCACACGAATAAATATGTGGGTAATACCTTTTTGGTCTACAGCTAATACCTTCACACGTTTCTATTGAGATAATGAGATAGTTATCTATTACTTGTAAACAAATCCCTGGAAACTGCATCAACATTACAAAATAAACTGTTGAAAATTCTGCTGGAATCATAAAAAAAACGTCTGAAATATCCCGGCACGGATTCTAGATCAGAGACCATTTTTAGCCATCCAGCAGCATGGCTCTCTGGGTGGTGATGTTGGTCAGTCCACCACTTTTCTTCTCGCCCCACCAGTCGATCAAAGTTTTCAGTTACTCGGTGAAATACTTTGGTATCTGCTGGGTGTAGTGACGGAACATTTGGTACACAGATTCATGGTTCCAGAGGAAGTATCCTGCTGACTTTGGTAACTTTTACTTTAACGCCACCAAATTTTATTTATCCTGTATTTAATTTATCCAGCCTGTACCATGCAGTATTGGCGACCAAATAACTCCAACAATCCCATCAGCCTCAGTGGCACACGCTACTGACACGCTAAACTAAAATGGCAAATACATTATACCTGCTAAACACTAACCCTAACTCAAAGCACAGCTGTGCCTCAGTACAGCATCACAGAGCAGTTTGCATGAATGTTGTTACTATAATATCAGTTAGAGGTGGGACCCAACACCTCGGAAACACTGAAAATGTTAAACAGAGTAATTAGAGGGTTGTGTGTGATGTTTCCTAAAAGCCACGTGTCAGTGATCTCTGAAACTTTATAAACACTAGATTACAGCTGTACAAGAAGTGTAATTTGCTGATCTTCAACAGGGCAGGACAGTTTGACATGAGAAGAACAGGTGAAAATATCTTTAATGATGGTTGAATTATTTTAACTGCACAGGTTTCAGGGTTGTGGTGTTATTCCTACTGACTCACCGTCACATTGTAATGGCTTATTGGGACAGATGAATAGAACACGGCTGTTGTTAATGTTTTTAGTAAGAGCTGCACTTTTCATAGTATGACAAGTCAGCAATGACAGCTGAATGTGTTTATTTCTGATTTGAGCTCCCATTATGTTCATGAAGCAGTCGATTAAAATAACTTTGTTTCCTCAGATTCTGCCCAGAAAGTTGTGGCCAACAAGCCCAAGCTGTCTGAGCGGCGTGTGTCAGAGCAGACGTCTATGTTGGGGACCACAGTCAGCAAGGCGTTGTCCTCCTCTGACACCGAGCTGCTGATGCTCAATGGCACAGACCCGGTGGCCGAGGCTGCCATCCGACAACTCCACCAGTCTGCCAAGCAGAAGCTCAAGTCCCCGGTGAAGAAGAGCACCATCATCATCTCTGGCATCGCCAAAGTAAGGATGACCTCTTCACTGGAGTCTTATACTGTTTCACTTATTATTTCACTTTAGTAGAACATTTTCACTTATTTAATATACAGGATTTTAAGTAGAAGCAGAGATCTGCCAGTTTCCAGCTGTTGTGTTCTCTAACCTGTCATTGATCATGATCAGGAAACAAATAGATCTTGGTCTTGTCAGGAGCAGGAAGTCTCCTTATGTTGTTGAAGTAGACTTCATGTGCCCTGATTAAAACTGGGCTTTCCGGCTTTATTTTCCAGCCTCCGGTCCAAATTACATTAAAAGAGCAAAGCAAAGCAAATAGTTTATTTGCACAAAGGAAACATCACTCGACTGGATATTGATTTTAAAAATGTGAATATGCCTCCAGACGCCCTTGTCTCAGGATGATGAGCTAGCTCTGATGGCGGGCTACGCTGCGGCGATGGATGCCTCGATGTCAGAGGGCAGCTCCACTCAGGATGTGACCACAGCGATTGCATCAGGGACCAGCAGCCCTCCAGACACGTCGGAGCCCCATGAAGGGCCCAGTGGAATAGGCCGGCCTCCAGAGGACTGGGAGAGCCAGACGGGAGAGGAGCTAGACCATAGCTCGCTATCCATGTGTGTGTCTGAGGTGAACTGCAAGAAGAGCAGAGGTGAGAGGTCACTGACCAGCCTGAGCCATGTGTAACTGGATGGACGTGGTGGCATCGCTGATCTTTTATAGGAGTATTATTCTACAGTAAATGTTTCTTTAAATCCTCAAAAACATGTTTTTATGGCCGCCTGTTGCTCCTCAGTGATGCAGTCTGTTCTTGTGTTCCTTTCTGTCTTTCCCTCCTTCTGTGACAACTTTTCCTTTTTGATCTGTCATCACTGCCATCTTAGAGGAGAGCAGTGCTAAGCTCACATTATGTCCAGATGAGTAAGTTACTTCATGAGGTATTCTGGTGCTCTAGTGTGTGTAGTTGCTAAGAGCAGTAGAGTAGATCACATTGTTTCTCAACAACGTCAAATTCATTTTGTAGTTAATGTAACATCAGTTAGACTTTAGCTCACACGTAGATGCTTTATTTTAGACTTGCTGTGGGGCTGCCCATAGACCAGTGGTTCTCAAACTCTTCCTGCCCCCCCCCCCTTCAGAAGCTAAAGAACATTCACAAACCCCCACCCCACAATTTTTATCAATCATTAACAATGATAGAAGAAGCAAGTAATGAAAAAAGGCTCTGTGCTGAATTTTAGTGAAATAAAAGTCAACACGGTGGCACCAGCAAACTCTTCTTTATTTATTTTTCCACATAAATCAAATTCATTCAACTTAGTTTCAGTCTCTGGTTTGAGAACCACTGATAAAGACAAAGTACGGTGGGTATTTTGACATATTCAGTTGCGTAAATATATCGAAAATTATCGAAAATGCCAATAATATGAACTTATCACACAGATGATGTAGATCTGACGTCTTGTGCAGATGTGCAGTGTACTGCTCAGCCTTTTGGTGTAGGATTTTCTCATGTGAGGAGTGAGGACACTGATATCTCCATCTTCACTATAATTAATTAGTTCTCATAGTGCTGGTTTATGTTGGTTTTATATCAACCTAAACTAATCTGCAGATACCGAGGAAAAGCCCCAAAACCTGAAGGAATGATGCTTGCAGCCAGGTTGGACCATGCAGCTGCTCTCTGTTGGTTCAGTACGTGTTAACTGGAGATTAAACATGATTTTTACAAGTCAGAGTGTCCAAAGCTTGACTGAGCTCTTTTCTCAGGGGAAAGACTTACAGTCCCAAGGGGAATAAATAGTATATTTCTTTCTCCAGTGTTTCACATCCATGCCAGATTTTTTTCACCAGCAATAACAATTTCCAACTAACACGAGTTCTGTGCCACTGCTGCTTCAGCTGTCTTCAAACTGCTGCCACCTCAGATACTTCAAATGAACACTGAATATTCCTGAAGGTTTCTCTGTCATTGTTTTTGCCTTCAGTGATGTCACGTTGACCTACTCCTCGTCTCACGGTATCTTTTTTTTCCTGTCCACCGCTTCTCTGCTACAGGCAGCTTCCTACAGAAGAGTGCCAAGCTCTTCTTCCGCCGGCGTCACCAGCGCAAGGACCCGGGGATGAGCCAGTCCCACAATGACCTGGTTTACCTGGAGTCTCCAGCCGCAGTGGAGCGGGCCAGCCGAACAGCCACGCTTAGCCGTATGCTCAACCGCAAGAGTAAGAGTAAGAGCAAAGCCAACGGCTCTACCTCCATGGGGGAGCCACATGCGTGACCCCCACCCCCTTTTCTCACCTCAGTCCCTCCCACAACTACCATCAGCACCTCCACCTCAAACTTGCACTGGCAAACTAACCTACTCCCCCTAATGTCCAACCTGCATACTGGCGCTCCTGCATTGTGAATGGGAGAGCTGTGCAGATGGAAATATATCCTCTTTTATTGCCATATCCTGCTTAAGTGCTTCCTATAAGAAGCAGACATTCCACCAAAAGCAAGTGCGTGCATGTGTGGATGAAGGTGTCCTGCCCTGAACTGATGGCATTTCAGAGGATATTATTTTGCATGTTTCTTTTATTTGATTTTATGCGACATTATGAAATCTTTAAGTGCTTTTATGGCCTGGTTGCGGACAGAAGGGACTGGTGTGGGCCATCACTCTTTACCTCACTGAGGGTAAAGGGTAAACTCTCCCTGCTGTAAAACGTAACGTTTCCTACGGTGGACCAACAGGACCAAAGATGAAGAGCAGAGTGGTATTTGTATGATTTGCACAATTTTAGTACCTTTTTATTTAAAGTGCAATGACAGGAGCTACTCTCATGATAGGGACTCTTCTGTAGGTCTGAGTCATGTTCAAAGCATTCACAAAGGGAGACGATCTTTTCACTGCATAACTAGTGCAAGTGGGAGACAGTAATACGACTACTTTTTGACACTAAGACTATGAAATATGGTATTTAAATCAATTTCCAATTCACTTAAAATACTTGTAATTTTATTCCAAGTGAATAATAAACAGCTGTATGTAATGTGCATATAAAAGCTGTACTACAAAATGCAAGCCTTATGTCTAACAAAGATAACCAGTCATTATAGGTCAGTTGTGATTGGCTTGTACAGAGGTGACGTTATCATGAACCGCCAGCTCTTGAAATGAATTAATACCCTTCTAAGAGGAAACAGTGACACTGTGGCTAACAGGAAACTTTAGCTATATATGAGCATTTTATGTTTACTCCTCTCTGTCTTGTTTTTAAATGATATGCAACTTTCTTCTTCGTCTTCCCAGAAGATTCCTCCTGTACACTACTATTATCAGCGGGACTGTTAATGTGTCATAAGGGAACGGAATGAACCTTTATTTAGGGACTGTGATGTTACACTCGGCCATACTCGTCGCATTACGCACTATTGAAATTTTCTTATATGCTCATTTCAATCCTGCATTTGATCTGAATGAAATCCTCCTTTCATTTAATGTTTGATTGTTTTTTTTTAAAGATGTAGCTTTGAACACATGAACAAGAGAAAGTGTGAACATGTTTGAAAGCAACCAAATTGTTTGGCTGCCTTTTTTTTTATCCAGCTAATGATTGTATTTCTTTTTTGTTGAAGACATTTCTGTACATCATGTTAACTACTGTTTCATCAGTTATTTAATCTGCTCAGAGAACTGATGCAGCACAGTGACAGACAGAATCAACAGATTGCCTTACAGATAGATATTCTGAGGACGTTGACGCCGGCGGCCGGTCTAGACTTGTTCCCTGACTCGATGTGACTTTTCGGTCCTGAGGCCACATCCACCATCAGACCAGAGAACCAAAGGACTGTAGCGAGCTGTTGGACTGGCTCTGAGTGACGAGTGTGCCACTGTGTTTCTGCACCATCAGCAATGTCTATAATCAAGAAGCCTATGCACATATCTGAGTGTTTTCGTTAGTGGACTACCTGAGAATTAAAAACACTTACTGCTCATGACAGCACTCTTCTGCAGATACAGTGTGGGTTGTCTTTGTGTCATGGTATTTACATGGTAGAGCTGTGATCCCCTCGCTCTCTTCCACCATCATGGACTACAGTTTGTAAAAATAAATATTAAAAAGAAAATATTCAGGCTGAATAAAATCCTGTAACCATGAAAACGGGTCGTTTTAATCTTGCTCAGCTTCAGAGTCCTCGCTCCAGGCAGCCTGCAAGCAGTGGCTACAGTTATGCATTCAGAGAGCAGTAGGGCTGTATGTGATTAATAAACTGCTTCCTGATGTTTTTTTATTGGCATCTGCTTTGTGCACAGAAACTGACTGACTTGACTGTTGCTATAGAGAGTCAGTCAGTTCCCTGCAGGGATTGCAACTAATATACATATCGAGTTATTTCATTTTCAGCAATAAATATTGATTGAATAACTGAGATTGTGGTGCCGCTTTCAATTTCCTGGCTGTGGTGACTTCTCGGTGCTAATGTAATGCATAAATCTCTACATGCTGTTTTACTTCCATTTTGTTCCAGAGGCTTTTGTTCATGAAGGGTCAACAGTGCCTCACTTTGCTGGCTGAAAGTAAGTAAAGTGTAGTTTTGAGGTGTTATTGTTTCCATTTTATGGAGCCATATGCTTCTTACTTCACTACATTTATCTGACAGTTAATAATTATTTTTTGCATAGACATAAAAGAGATCATCAGCTTCTATAACATGAAAAGTGTAGAAATCTCCAATAAGTCATTTTAGTCTTGAATCCTTAAACTTTTTATTGTTTAAAAAAAAAAAAATGTTGCAGGAATATTTCAGCCTGATGAATTTTTAAAAAATTAACTTTTATAATCTAGTGCTGTGAGCTGCATTATTCGGTCTTGTTTCAAGATGCAGACACTCATTTTGAGATCACAATTTCATTTTAATAATAAATAAAAGTTGAAATATTCTTACTGCACTGCAAAATTAGAACTGTAGGTTACAGACAAAAAGCTTTTTAAGAATCAACAACTGTTTCTTACATATTAACATTGATTTTAGTTCTACGACACTACAAGGACACTGCTGCTAATATTTTGAATGCAGGATATTTACTGTTTGTGGAGCATTTTCACACTGATATTAATTAATATTAAGAAATTAAAAACTAATTTTTATTAATTACCTCAATTTCAAAGGCTGTAGAGACTGCGTCCACACCTGCGTGCTATATGGTAAAATCAGCCAGTGTGAATGTAGATTAATGTCGTATATTTACCAAGCCTCCTCTCAGAGATGTGGCCGGTGTGAGCTAAAGTGTAAAAAAATAAATAACATCAGACTAAGGCTTTGTGGTAAATAATCATTTAGAATTCCAAAGAATGAGAACTTTTCCATATCTTTTACAGTAATTATCTCATTAAATACAACCTCTAACTGCCTAATTAAAGCCTGATGGAGGTGTTTTATATCCTGACGAGCACTACAGCCCCCACAATGCACTCGGCGCGGCTCGTTTCCGGTCCTGCGCCGTTTCTGGAGCGGATTGGAACCCGGAGTCAGGATTCGATAAATGAAGGGTCTCCTGCAGAGAAGGTAACGTGTTTTCCTATAAATACAGGTCGATTTTCTATCAAACGGCGCCGCAGCTCAGAAGTGAAGGTGCAGCTGGTTCGTCCCGTCCGCTCGGAGCCTCCCTGCGCCGCCTCCACCGCTCACTGCATGGCGTTGAAGAGCATCGACTCCGGTTTGAGGGTTTGCGTCTCCGGTCCATCCGCCATGCCGACTGTTCTTTGTTACAGTTTGCCGAAGAGGAGCCGCGCAGATCGGAGTTAAAACCCGGCTAGACTTTGGGAACGATTCAAATCCTGGATCCCATCTCCTGCCCGGACTGCATACGTTAACATGCATGCTCCAGCTGTACCGCTTAAAAAGGCTGTTAATGTTGTTGTGATACAGCATCGTTCATCCGGGAGGTCTGATGCATTCAAGTGTCCCAGATTAAATGTGAATGCAGGCTCGGAAGTTCAGTCATCTACATCCTAACACACTCTTAAAAATAGTCCCTTTATGTAACGGCACATTTTCTAAGAAAACTGAGGGGCATGACTTTGATCACCCCCGTGACCTGATCCTTGTCTCCTGTCAGTGATGTTTATAATAAACCAGCGTTTCCTCTGTTTGTAGGTTGGCATAATGGCTGAGCAGACACCAGATGAGTTCATCTGTGAGTATGAGTCCAGCTGTCAGTGTGTGTGCGTGTGAGAAAGAGACAGAGCGAGAGAGGAGTGAGAGACCAGGTTGTGATGACAGGTGTGATGTTTGTCCCAGGGTGCGAGGACTGTGGCCAGTACCATGACTCTGAGTGTCCTGAGCTTGGACCGCTGGTGACCGTCCAGGACTCCTTCGTCCTCAGCCGAGCTCGGTGAGTGTTTCATCCACACAGAGTCTGTAAGATCCAGCTGATTGAAACCTCACTGGTCCTGACAGTCGTTCACCTGCTGAGCTGTCCTCGAGCAAGTAGATTTAAACTGACGCTGACCTCTGACCTCCTGATGGAGGCTGGATTTTGAAAATACAAAGCCTTTACAGGTGTGGTGTTACTAATATTATAGACCTTCCACAGAGATTGCTAAATCTGTATCTTCAGGCAAATCCACATTTTATCATTTAAATGGAGGCTGTGTAATCACATCAGGTGAAGTGCTTGGAAATGAGTTTTGTGTTATTGCCATTTCATAACATACATACTATCCTGTTCCTGGATCAGGTCCTCTCTACCAAACAGCCTGGAGATCAGAGAGGTGGCCAACGGGGAGGAGGGGGTGTTTGTCCTGCGACGGCTGGTAAAGAGGACCCGCTTTGGGCCCTATGAGGCTAAGAGGGTCGCTCACCTGGAGAGGGAAGGCACGTTTCCTCTGAAGGTGATGAATCCTGTCCAGGTGTACTTGTAGAGAAGACGCATTCACTGCTCTGACGTGATTGCATACGTTGTTGTATTAACTTCCTTCCTTATTAATCCTCCAGATCTTCCAGAGGGACGGTTTGGTGGTGTGTTTTGACTCCAGCAGTGAAGAAGACTGCAACTGGATGATGCTGGTACGACCTGCAACGGACCACATGCACCAGAACCTGACGGCTTACCAGCAGGACGATGACGTGTACTTCAACACCTCCCAGGTACCTGCATCCACCTTAAACCTGAGCCCAGGAGACTCGCGTGGTTTTCATGTTTGCCTCTGCTCCCTGTTTCCCAGGACGTGCTCCCAGGCACAGAGCTGAGGGTCTGGTACGGAGCTTTCTACGCCAAGAAGATGGAGAAGCCCATGCTGAAGCCTCCACTTCAACCGCCACCACCTCCATCAGGTACATGACCTTACTTGCCCCAAGGCTTTTGTAGATCACAATGGCAACAATGTGAATTATACCTTAGGGCTACCGCTAACGACTATATTTCTATCGATTAATACTAAATGATTCATTTTCCTCCAGAAAATCTAAATGACACCCTGGCACGGTCAGTAAGTCCAGATTCTCGCCTAAACATTCTCCATATACTTATTCAGTGTAAGTTCTCGGCAGCAGCAGACGACTTCATGACTCTGTTAGAGGATTTATCAGCTATGAGGACAAACGATATTAAAAAGCTCCATCTACTAATGATCAGACAAAACTTACATGACGTAATCCTCCACGTGTTTGTGACTGATCTCGCTGTGCACCATAAAAATAATAATCACAAAATAACACAGGTTAAACAAGACTTATAGTGAAGGGATTTGAACTGTGATGTGCTCATCCTCCCACAGTCAGACATTAACCAGCTGATTTTATCTGCATCTTATCCATACACTTATTGATCCAGCTCACACTATTACTGGTTCTTTTTTTTTTTAAAAAGAATAAATTCAGAACAGGATTTGATTGATTTGTTCTCTAGTTGCTCAGGTTACAACAATCTGTCACGTTCTAAGATTCATGGTGATCTAAGATAATCAGTTAGACTTACATACATACAGCTTTTCTTTTAGCTTTTCATAACAATTACCTATTAGCTTAACCAGCGCGATGTTGATGTTGGAGTCGGCAGAGGAAACTGTCTCTTTTCTGTTTGTTGCTTGTTGAACAGTTGGTTGGGTAAAGTTCTTATTGGCCTTTTACTTTTTATCGCACTTACAGTAAAGTTCAGTAATAGTTGGTCAACAGCCCAGAGAGCAGAGGACTGAGTGCAACCATAAATGATAAATAGAAAATAAATATATGTCGGTTAATGGTGACTGGCCACCACAGATAAATCAATGTATGGGAAACGATTCGCTGACTTAAAATATTCAAAACATTTTCAAAGTGGAGGTTGTCATGTATGGCGACTAATCCCAGCAGCCCTATTGTATCTCATAGTTTTTCTCTCTTCTTCTCAGATGTGACATCTTCATCTGATAAAACAGACACCTCAGAGCAAACCGGAGCCCACATGCCCTCAGTGGCTGAAGAAAACAACGCAGGTGAGATAAACATCATCGCTCCAGTCACTGCATCTCAGAAATGTTTACTCTTTCAGCTAAATTCAGGCTCATTTTCTTCAAGCTTTAAATTGCATCAGATTTAGGTTTTCAGCCGTTCCTCCGCAGCGAGTTCAACAGGAGTCGCTTCTCTAAATTGAGGAAATGCTGTGTCATGGTCGCTCATTCTGAATCCCCTACTTGTGTTGATCTCAGGCAACATGCTGAGTCAACTCGATGAGGTGAAGACAGTCAGCGTGCTTCCAGCCGACCCGCTCCTGCCCCACGAAGAGAGCCTGGTCGGCCCTGAGGAGGAGGAGGAGGAGGAGGAGGAGGAGGGTGGCCCCCCTGCAGCTCAGCCGGGCCCCAAGAGAGGGCCGGGCCGAGGGAGGAGAGCTAAGGGACGCAGGCCTGGAGCCACAGCTACTACAAGCAAAAGCAAAGGTGAGAATAAACAGTTCAAAAAGTCTTTGTTTTGATATGTTTTGGAGCAGTTGATTGGTTGTTGTTGGAAAACGTGGCTATCATGTTGAGAGGTGTCTGAACAGTTGTAAAGGAGCCAATGTATCAACATGTGTTGTTGCATGTTTCACATCATTTTGAGCTGAACAAGTTGCAACAGGTTCAGGCACATTCTGCACAGGCTGCCAAAGAGCATTCTGGGAAAACGCTGTAAATCACTACCTGAAGTGGAGACAGACGGAGCAGGTGTATGACCAAATACCTGCAACACTAATGACATTCCCATCAGCCTCAGCTGGTCTTTGTGTTTAGTGCTAAGTAGAAAATGTTAGCATGCTAACACGCTAAACTAATGCGAATGTGATAAACATCATACCTGGGCTCAGAAATCCAGACTCAGTTTGACCCTTATTACCATCCGATGCCACATCTACTGTAGATCTCTCTTTGACATTGGATTCCTG